ATTCGAAATCTGTAAAACAGTATCGGAAATATAATCGAGGATTGATTTGAATGATTTCTAGATTTTTTTTTTGAAGTTATTTTTTCTGTAGGTCAATGCAAATGAAGGACCTAGGGTAAACCAATGTATAGATTCTTTCAGTTATTATGAGCACTAATGAGATATTCCTAAATTATGTAACGCATAACCCATTTCTTTGATTACTCATAACGGTTATTCCGTTGGGTATGGTCATGCTTCGGCATAATTTCAATTCATTAAATTTGAAAAGAAGAAACCACTCATTTTTACTATAATCAGACTAAGTTTATACACAACTAGGTCAACTTCGGCCTTCATATATTATTCATCAGAATTACTCCTTACTCCTAGTGTTACACTAGGATACACTAAACAGACAGGGAATTTTTCGGTTGTTAAGTATTGTTTTATATAATTTAACTGGATATTAGATCAACGATACTACTAAAACCGCAATTAATGTACCAAAATCGCCCTCGCCACAAAAACAGACAAAATTATCTTTATAAAAACAAGATATGTTTGTGAAACACTATGCCCCCGATGGTAACACAATTCTGGAGGACGTAGACTGTTCATAGTGGTATATCATGCACTTACCTAAATGGAATCGAAATTTTGATTTTGTGTAAAATATGAGGCCAAATATGGTCTATGGCTTTAGCTCTTTAATGTTGAAACTTGTTAAATGTGGATAAGATGGAGTTATTATAAGGTATCATAGCTGTGAATATAGCAAAAATAATCTTTCAAAATATTCTTGACATAAAGATTAGGTACATACTAGTAGTTTGCCATTTTTATGTGAAAACATTCTCTGGCGTTGCAAATTCAAATTTGTTCAAATTATTGAGTTTGGTGGTTTTTTGGAAGCAATGGTATACATTGTAATGTCTAGAAAATCAAATTTTTCAAAGAATATGCAGAATAATCTTTTATTCCTTTCAGAGCGGCGAAGCATTGGTTTATAATAATAATACTGAAACATCCTAACGGAACGCAGTTTCATTTGTGCTCAAATTATGGCCCCAGGGGTAGGTGGGAACACAGTAGGAATAAGCGTTTATACTGGAATATCTAGGGGATAGTTGTTAAATTTCTCATATAGTACAGTGTAACTTATTCATATTAGTAACCCAGGGATATCGAATTTCAAGGTTTTATCTGTTAACAATAGTTATGTAGACTCGATATACGAGGTGTCAATTGAAATAAAAGTCACCAAAGAGTCTAGCACATCTTTTTCACATTTGGATATTTTAATGAGTACTAGTATGTTCGATACCGACCAACTGACAGCTAAATTGTATGACAACCGAGTAGGCTTCACCTTTTTTTAATCACCAACTTTCCTTATTTATGTAATTTATTTAGTAATATTCCGCTTTCACCTGCACATGGTGTTTACATCTCCCAAATTATTAGATACTTTTGAGCATCCTACGAGAACGATCAGTTTAACTTTTTAACAGTAACTGGCTTCTCACAAATAAGTTGATGATACAGGAATTACAACAATCTCGCTAAAAGTCGGCATGTGAAATTTTTTATGATTATTATAATAACTTTTAGAATAGAAAAAAAACATTGGATTGTATATTGGTCGATTTAAATCGGAGATGAAATAAAAATATAAAATACTTTGAAAACAAGAGATATGCCATGTTAGAGATATTGAAAGTTGAGCACCCTATATTTTGTTTTGATTCAACTTCGATTAAATTATATTCCGTCGGGGCTAGGATGAGGTAATGTACAAATATCGAGTTAAAGATGTCCCTGGGAAAAGAGTGAAAAAGACATTTAAAAAGAACAAGGTAAACAGATGAGCGGTGTAGCCATGGGCCACTTGTCATGCTTACATGCATAAATTTCTATTATGGATGTCTTCTATTAAAGGACAAATTCTGAATATTTGAGATCCCAGTTACCTGTATATCTTCTATATAAAGCCTTAAATAAAGTGTAGGACACGCATAAATAAGGAATATTTTTTCTATGGCTCAAAGTCAAAAGGCCAGACAGGATGCATACTCTGACGTCAAACTGCTTATTATTACAGCATTACCTAGGATAAAAGAAATGACGCAAAATCTATGCATTAATGCATATATTAATTATTTATGTTATATATTTAACGAACTGATGAATTCGCTAAGAACCAAACAAAAGGAGGACGCACTTGCCCCCGTCTTTCAAACTGAGAGTTAACGTTTCGAAATTCATTGCCTTGTCAAGCTATCTTTTGTCATATTTGTATCATCTCACATAGCCATGAGAAACCTCAGCTGAATTGCCTAAAATTGAAACCACTTATCGCCGAATTTTCACGATGCAATTAAAATAATATATATATTCAAAAAGAATGAACTACGTTATCGAACTAAATTCTTCATTTTGACAATAACATGTGGAGAGTGCAATGACACGATGATAAAATATGCACGACACAATTATGCTGTCTGTTTTTCTTTCTGATAATTTTCTATTTCGGTCATATATAATTCTCCACCCACGCTCGGAAAGTACAAAAAATTGTTTCATTGATGCTGTTTCATTTCATGAAATGCATACTACATGTATAACTTGCATATAATGAATGCGTCCCTAGGCTATTAATTGCCCGGAAGCTCTCGTGTACGCCTCATCCGTCGTCGTGCGTTAACATTTTTAAAACATTTTAAAAACATTTTCAGTTCTTTCTCTGGAACAACTGAAAATCTTTCAACAAATTTTGGCATACAGTATAGGAGAATAAAACTTATGACTGGATATTGCGTCGTGAATTAGGCGTGTGTGTTGGGGTTAAAGCCACAAAAACTCATACAATCTTCTTTACTACTCCTCCACATCAAACAGTTTAACTGTTGGCATGATTCTAATAGGCATCAATATTGAGCCCGGAGTTGGAAATGGGCTCTTATTATTTATTATCACGTTTCAGAAAAAGAGTTGTTCCCATTTGTTAATCACTTCCGATAATTAATTCTTGTACATATTTAATTACCCGGTAAATAATGTAATTGAAAAAAAATAGAATAAATAGATAGATAAATATATATAAGGTGAATAGAAATACGACAAAATTGCGTTAGACGGGTAAGTACATCAAATACTAGTATAAGAGAAACCCATGTGTTTGGATCCTACTGCGAGCACTCTGTGAATACATGTTTATTGTTATATCTTCAAAATTTGTTCCTTTACAAATCTATACGAAAAAAGTCTAACATTTTTAATGCTTTACTGAACGGGCATAAAAAATCGATGTTTGATCGCTGAGTGAGATGTTGGAACTGTCGATGAGATGTTGGACTGCTTACGTCACACCATGGACGTAGACTAATCTCAGCATTCGTTTCTCAAATGCTTCTGCTCAACAGTGACGGAACCTGAGGTTACATCAAGGAAGACAGTACAAGATACATGTATGTCAAAAAAATATCACAATATCAGGTATAACAAAACATTTATTGACTGTATTCTCAGGCAAAAATGATGCTTTTTGTCGACCCTCGAACCAAACTGTCTGCTTTCGGCAAACGGTTTCATTCTTGGGTCCGACAAAAAGCATGTTGCGCTCGAACCCAGTCAATAAATGTATAATGCAAAAGCACTGTTATCTTGTGGATCATGGGGGTGGTATATATAAGATAACACTGACCAATACAGGCAAGTTTCTGTATTATATTTTTGCATAGTTGCTGCTGAGATTAGTGTAGACTACTTATTTTTCCTATTTTTTTATATCTTTAGTTTTTATCAAATCGCCATGAAAGGGTCGCGCAGTGTAAACAGAGCAATGTTACACTCAACTACATGCAATATTTATATAATGCTAAAGCACTATTATCTTGTGGATCGCGGAGTTATATATAAGAAGATGATCCTTTCGAGTTTTTTTTTTTTTTTTTACGATTCCGTTGCTTTACAGGCATAAAAAACAGTGAATGAAGCTACATGTAGATGAACTTGAACATTTTCAATTTGTTGATTCATAATTGAAAGTACTAGTACTTGCTTTCACTTAATATCCCACTGCGGTAATTGCGTATTATCCCAATGTATAAAAAAAAGATTTATAGATATGTCATCAAACTGTTAATCTCATAATACGTCTCCTTAATGTGAAATATAAAAGTATAGTTTAGAATTTATAAGAGTTATAATTTTAAAAGTATAAGATATTTGAAGAGTTTAAATCTCGTTGAATTAGTAGATGGTAAGCTTATCATATCGCGTAGGTCGTGAATTTGATTTGTGGCATCTAGCAGGAGATTACTATATCAAAATTCTGTCTCTGGAGCGAAAAGCGGGTTATCTTGAAAAGCTATCGTAAAGAAGATATCGTTAAGTTCGATGGCATAGATATTCTTTCTTAAAAATGATATATATTTCAACTATTGACGTATACACACATGTATATATAAATACCTGAAATATAACAAAGATGAATCATTCTAAAAGTATTCAATTACTTCTCTTTTGTGCACATCTATCATCATATGACAGCAAATAGCTATTGGGTAAAAGTATTATTGAGAAAAATGTGCCCCCCCCCCTCGATAATCTACGGGCCATCTTCAATCTTGTGCGCATCAAATTATAATACTCAGTAAGTACAGGGACCTATATTTAACGTTAAGTACAGGGACCTATATCGTAAACCACACACACATAAACATGCCTAAATTAACATACCATACGTTAGTTAGTAGATAGGCCCCTGGTAAGCAAATTAAACAATTTAAATTAATAATAATAAAATATCTGCAACTTGCCAATTACATGACTGTATTTTTAGCGCTCCGTGGAAAATCATTGTTGTTTTTGATTTGTCATTATCGTAAACCACACACACATAAACATGCCTAAATATAACATACCTAGTAACTAGATCTGCAATTCAGGCTTGCTCAAGCCTAATCTGTTTTAATCAAACCGTGTGAAAGAGCTCGGGATCGAAAAACATTTTTTTGCATAGAGGTGAAGGTCGTTGAAACGAAACTAAACAAACTTCTATGGCTTTGACAAGGGCACTGGCGAGAGTGCGTGTTTTACGTACGTCTGTTCGTTTGTTAGCCACAAAACCTGATGAAGGAAGATTTGTGGAATATATGAAGTAACACATACAGGACAGGTTAGTTAAAGTGTTATGCCATTGCAAAACTTGTAATTAAATTTCATTCACATGCTTGCTCATTGTACAGTCTTTGACCAGTTCCGAATTTTGTCAGATCAGTACTGATCAAGTGATCAATTTTTAAAAGAGCTTATAATTAATAAATACAATTATATTATTATACCTCAACTGTCATAAGTGTTATTTTTCTATACACAATTAAATGAACAGCTTAATGATAAATTTATAGCCATGTTTTAGATACCTTTGCTATACAAATACATACTACAACAATATTGAATACTATTAAATGTTGAAGTGATTTGGATGTTCCAACCCCATTTTTAAGTACTTTACCCTGAATATCTCGACTCCTTGGATATCTGGGAAATTCTCTATCCAACAGTGTTTAAGATTATGTTTGACTGTACTTTACAACCACGTACACTGTATAGAATACATTTATATGATTCATGACGTGGATGTTGCCTCTGTTTTCACAAATACTCCAAATGAAAAATGAATTTGAACTCTGCATGTGCACTGACATATATTGTGAAGTGTGTTACCATTAAATGAAAATATGATTGTGAAAAGTGTACTTCATATCCTCCTTGAACTTCTAAGAAAATTGGAGGACATTACATTGTATTTTAGCATTCAAGTACACATTTACACATAAATGAAATCTGCGGAAGGATTATTTGTACTCAGTCAGCATGTAATTGTTTGAAATGCTGTTTTTAAGTTACTGCAGTTGTAATATTTTTATTACAGTTTTTCATGTATTTCATTGATTGTGACACCATAATTAAGTTGAAGGAAAAGCTGTGTTTCTGCTCAGCTGGGGTAGTTCAAGAGGGAATGAATTTCTAATTTGTTAACAAAGTAATCTTAAAAGAAAGCCATTACATATGTATTAAAATATATGTAGTAGATCTAAATACTTTTATAACATGCACAATTTTAGATTCTGTGGTTTTTCAAATATTACATAAAGTTTTAATCTTGTTATAACAGGTGTGGGACAAAGATGACTATAGAAGAATTAGATTTGTAGACAAAAAGAAGCTGGTAAGTGGAAGATCAGTTATATATAAAGCAGAAGTATATACATGTTAAAATGGTAGCATTCAACAGAATGTTAGTTTTCCTTGCCATACATATTAGATACATTATGGGGATTGTATAAATGTACATTCTCAAAGTAGCTCAATGGTAGAGGACTGGCATGGTCACTGAGCAGTCCCCTGTTTGAGTTGGGTCTTGGCTTACGCTTTCTCATCATCTATAACATTTAGTACCCAACAACGAAATCAGTATGTAGGCTAGGAGTCTCAGTGAGGTTTTTAGGACGGAAAATCTGAAGAAAAAGGTGGAAAGGGTTATGTAGGGATTGGTACATCTGCCTAGTAGCTGTATGGTAGCTAGAGCACCTGCACATCGTAAGTCTCAAGTCCCCGTCTTGCGGACACTTTTCCCCATCTGTTGTATGTACAAAAAGTTAGTTTTAAAAAGCTTTAGATGATAGAAATGATTTTTATTGTTTATCCCTTTTAAGTGTAGTTAATTGTTCTGTTATTAAGACCAAAGTGCATAAAATTTATTGTGGTATTGTTAAAAAAAAACAGGCATGACATTGGTATTTTTTTTTTCAGTATCAGTAGGCTATGGAAATTACAAGCTTCATTGAGATCAAAATATTTTTTTCGGAATTGTCATTTTATATGGAAAAAAATGAAGAAAAGTAGAACTCGTTTGAATTCAGTGATGTTTAAATTGCAGGTGAACAAGAATTTTGCCATTAATCTGATAGCGGAGGACCCTGTTGTTGTTTGTCCAGAGAAGACAGTGTGGAGTAATAGCGGTGGTGCCCTGGGCCACCCCAAAGTCTACATTAACCTCGTAAGCCACAAAGTCTTAGTCTACCACAGTCACCTATATATAAATGTAAAATATGTAAATATAATACATCATCTTACTTTTCCCATGATAATTGAAATAACAATCCATATTTTTTTTTTAAAATTTATTTAAGGAATGAATTAATAGCAAACCAAGTTATACTGTATAACCTGGGTTGTGGCAGTTTACATGTTTATAAATTGCGAAGCGGTTTATAAAAAAACATAAACAGCTCCAACCCAGGTTATACCAGTATAACTTGGGTTGTTATTTAACACATTCCTTATAATTAATTTTCAATCATTATTTGTTCATATTTAAAACATAACATCAAGCGGATTGATGTGTTTTTGACGTAAGTCATTGTGATCTAGGCTATCCAGGTTATACAATTTAGATTAATTTTTTATCCAATCAAATGACTTGTTACAACCAAAATTATATTATTGAATTGTAGAAACAAGTACATGTTTCCATGTGCTATTTCAATTGATATTTTTAAAAAAAGCATAAAGACCTTAATACTGTTGAAAATTTAAAATTTAAAATTCTGTATTTCAAAATGTGGACAGCATTTTTATTACGACTTTCTGTGATATTTATGAATGTGTAAAAAATATTTATTTTAATAAATAATTTCAGAGAAAAAAACTAATTTAAATGTTTACATCTAATCCCAACTCATCCCTACTTCAAGAAAAGACAGAAAACAAATTAAAGAGGTCAAGAAATAAAGTCACAGTTTTAAAATTTTCTCTTGTTAGAAAGCTTCAAATACAATCAAAGAGAAACATGCTAATAGCAAATGTGATTATGATTAATTGGTCCACTTTCTTTGTTTGATGATCAAAAAATCTCTTAAATGTGCAATTAGTTGACACACTGCATCAAAAACATTCTGCACAATCCAATATAAATCTCATGAATCTATAGAACATTTTCTTTTTTCAGTTTGTTTGGGTGTTCATGTACAAGTTTTGTTTTGCCTTTCAATTTGGAATTCTTATTTCAGGATAAACCACAGGTATCAACATGTGGATATTCTGGGAGAAAGTTTATATACAAGGGCTTTTATAACGAAGCTGAACATGGACCCTCTATAACTTATGATCAATATCTTGAAGAAATGAAACCAAAAGAACGGAATTAACTTCACAAAGGGAATTCTGCTTTAGAGATACACTACAGTTTGTCAGTTATTGTTTATAATGTACAAAAATTAAAACTTTTGATTTTCCAATAAAATAATATGAAATTATAAAGTATTATTATTCCAGTTGCAAAATATGTATCCAGCAAATCATGTGTTGTTAGGATGCATGCAAGGGGAGATATATTTTTAGTAAAGAATACCTGTAGAATGTTTAGCTGACCAGAACAATATGATTCATCTCTGTGAACCTTGATACAGAAAATAGTTGCATTTTTGTTGGAGTTATTGTTCTTGGTTCACTTTGTTGTTACCAGAGTTTTAAAAGTAACCCAACATTAAAAATCCAGGTCACTGTTAAAATTTTGCACATAGTAAATATCGACTCCATTCAAAAAACCAAGAATCTCAACGGTTACCCGATATTTAGGGTAAATGAGACAATAAGTTCATTAGTTAACAAGTTTATGTGGATCCAGTTTTTTAAAGAATCTTTGACGAAAAACAATAGGCATCTTATTTTAATGAAATATTTGATTTTTCTTACGTTTCTAAAAAAATGTCGTGCACGTTTAAGACAAGGTTATGTTAAGCTGTTTTAATTCTCAGCGGGCTTCCAAATTCGAAACGGTACCATGGATATTTTATAATATTTGAAGGAATGACTGATTCTTGGCCAAATTATTCGATGATAACCTGGTTTGGGTCATTTACGCTTTATAATCCGCAAAAAGCGTAAATTGACCCAAACTAGGTTATCATCGAATAATTTGGCCAAGAATTAGAGTCATTCCTTATGATTTAATTTTAAAATAATTAAACAACTGTGGGTGTAAAATTGTGTTGCTTTTTATGAGTTCAAATTTGCTGCTCAATAATACATCCCTAGTAACGGAAGTGATATGAAACAAGGGGAGGTAATAACTGATATACAGAACTAGCAGCCATGATGTTTGTGTACACGAGGTAAGATCGAGCTACTGTTTGAAGTTAAAGTTACATTCATTAAATCTGGAATTTCCCATGAATTCCAAGGACTGGAAATGAGGGGATGATATAGATACATATGATTCAGCTGGTTGTCAAGGGGGTGTGTCCCCATACCAAACCAGGTTATTAAGAAATAATTTGCGTTCCTTTTTGGTAATCAACCAATGAGAGACTAGAATACAAACAAAATTAAATTATTATACTTTCATGTAAATAACTTCAATCTTATTGGTCGAGATACATTTGTTAAAAAACACTATTACCCGCTGAAGCCACGCCCTTCAGAGTAGCAACAGTCACCAGTGCTTGACGACGGGTGATATTCCAAAAAATAGCGACTGTGCAGAATTTATGCGCGCACGCTTCACTGTTTTTGTACAAAACATTCAGTATAATATAATAAATATTGCATGTGCAGCCTCGGTTGACAATGGTTTTCTTGGGGTGAAAATTTTCAATGTTACACTCAACTACATGCAATATTTATATATTAAACCACAAAGAGCAAATATATGACGCTGTGGAGTTTGACAAGAAACAAGAGCGTGGTAATGGAAGCCAAGTCTCTTAAAGAAAAAAAAAACATGCAGCATATTTTCATTGATCCTTTTCTTGAACTGGAACATAGGATTTTGGTTGAATGTGGCTGCAATATTTTGTCATCTGTGCTTATTGTCCTTTGACAAGGTTAGTACAAATCTGAAGAAATTCATGTACCCAACTTCCAAATATTTTGTATACTGTGTATATGAGAATAATAAATAGTAAAGGAACAATATTAAATGACAGATTTAATTAAATGTAATTTGTAGCGTACAGTACATAAATTAATTTTCTATTTGAGTATTTCCACTCTGATGTCGGGACTGAGAGTATTGTGTTTGGATAGACACTTCCTGTAGAAGACAACAGACGTTCCGTATAACTTGGTCCAGTTTGTGATGCTATGTGCCATGTTCCCGTTTACACTCATGTGATCTACATCCGAGTTTCCGTCAGCTACCCACATCGACATAAAAGTCAAGAATGGATATTTCTTGCGATTCTTGAAGGTCATGTCGGAGACCTGTAGGATCGTCTCCGCAAATGATGACCTCAAATGCAACATGGCACTGTTTCCATTTTCATATAAGATTTTAATCGTCATCTTTTTAACATCAATGTCAATGAATTTTATGTTTGCGGACGGCCGAGTTTTGACTGGGTTCGATTCTCCAAGCAGTATGGACGATCCAAACGGGATCCAGTCCACCCCCGGGGGTGTGATGGGTAGCAGACGAACCATTCCGTCCTGGTAGATCACCATGGTCTGCCCATATCCACCATTTGTCCAAGGAATCTTTTGATAAAATCGAATATAATCGGCATTTTTGTATTCTCGGTCACCAATTTTTACGGTCATTTTCTTATTGTATTGCCACCAGAAATCCACATCGACCCCTTGGATAATTATGTCACCATTATCGTGATAATCAAATGCCTTTTCTTCTTTTTGGGGGCGTTTTCGAAGATTGATTGTCTTGAAGTCTATAGTTCTATTGAGATTTTTTGGGATTAGTATTTTGATTGCATTACTTGGCCCTGCTGTCCATGAGAAATCAGGAATTTGGAGTGAATAATTTAATGCCCCTGGCTCAAATGTATAGGATACGGGTTCTGTATACTGTTCTTCGCGGTCTAGGTAGCTAAACCCTAGCTTTATCGGTTCTTTCAGTGAATCCCCCAACTCTATTGTTAATATTGATCCAATTTCTGAATCTGGAAGTCCTTGTCTTGGTCCTTTAAGAGCGAAAAAGACAACTATGACATTCGAACTGACTTCTTCCGAAAACGTTAAAACAGCCCAACCTTTGCGTAACTTTTTTTCCTTGTTTTCTTCGTAAGTAATATTATCAAAACGCCATAGTTTTTCTACTGCCATGTCGCAGTTTTCCCAGTCTGGATCGCGAACGTTTGCAAAGGCCTTATACTTGGGATGCATGGCACGGATTTCTATCAACTTCGCAGAATTATGGTAAAATGGTATTTTAATGTTGTCTATTTCTGCACATTCAGTACTTGTACTCTTCTGCTCGATTCTAGCACTGGGAACAAAATCTCGGCCTTTCACATGCTCGTAGCTGATATCCTCGAAGCAGAAAACATTGCACCGGAAGACTTGTTTCTGTATGCTGTCATCACTGACTGTTATCGATACTTTGTCGATTTCCACACCGTACTGGTCACTCTGTGTAAGCTGGAGAACGAGCGTATGTCTCCCGGCCGGAAGCCGATGAGTATGTCCAATTCGTCCTGTTTGGACGTATTCGTTCCATCCTTTACCGCCTTGACTTTTTGAGTGAGTCTGAAAAGTTCCTATTTCTTCCCAGTTTAGGAGAACGGTGAAACTATCTTCTTTACCATCATTTGAATATAGAATATTGTCGACTCGCACGTCTGTCTCTTTTGCCAAACAGAATTCAAATTTCAACAATCCTCCTTGTGACATTAACATCCAGAGAGCACGGTTATTTGATGCTGGTTTTCTTTCTGTTATTGTAGATGTATTCCCGGATTGAAAGTCCTCCGCTTCTAGTTCAAATGTTTGTTCTCCATATACAACCGAAGAAAATATTAATGCAAGAAAGATCACAATTCCAGAGTCCATGTCGAAATTTTGTTATTAACACGAAATTGATTAAGAAATATTTTCTGTATTGTTGATGTAAAATGATTAAGTCAATACCTTGTGGACAAACAAACTGTTTTGCATTATAAGGCAGATTTTATCATTTGCGCGTGGTTTCTCTGGAGGCGATGATTTACAAAGAAGTATATACATCACTACTGAAGGCATGTGCCCTAACACAACGTTTAGGAAGGTCAAAGGGAATAATGAATAAGAAAACGCCTGAATTGATTGATTTTACCTAATGAAGAGAATCTAAGTAATGCAAATCAACCCAAAGTAAAGGTCGTGCCGTGCGCCCGTTTCCTGCTATATGTCTTAACGTCACTCGTCCAGGGTTAATTATAAAATAAGTATTACTTGGCAGAAACCTGCAACGTGTTAAAAACACTGCGCCCACTTCTGTTTACCTGGATTTTCAGTTTTTATTATATTTGAAATTAATTAGTATTTTGGAATTTCTGTGGTATATATCACATGATTTGATTACGCAAGTGCATATTTAAGTCGAATTTACTGTATTCTAATTGCTGACAAGTATGTGTACAAAGTATTACAATGTAACAAACATAACCATAAAAAAAGAATAAACGTTAATAATTATATGAAAATAAAATCTTACAACATTTGATTTTTTTTAAAGTTATTTAAAAAAATCACCTATCTTTAGGTATACATGCATAATAGTTTTTCATAGTTAGTCTCCTTATAAAAATATTAAAATGAATTCAATTAAAAAAAATAATTTAATAACAACCAACTTTTCATTACAAATGTACATATTTGATTATACTTTAGCATGTCGATCGAAGCTTCAAGACCAAATGAATTGACGCTATAAAAACCTCGATCCAGGGATAATGATTCGAATAACTTTTCATATTTAAACCTAACACAAACAACTGGACAGTAATTAATAAATGTTACAAGGCAGATGCACATATTTAAGAAAATTTCACAATTATTGTTAAAACTTTTTTAGCCAAATAGTCATTATGATTAAAAAGCGCTAGATATTGAAGATCTTGACTAACTTCTAACAAATCATCATTGAAAAGAAACAGATATGGGAATTACACAAAATGTACAAGAAGTGAACAGTAGAAATCCTTAGGAAAATTAACCCATTTTAGGCTTCAAAACAAATGAATGAATTGGATCTCTGTGGAAGAGTTTTTTCGAGCGCTATTTTGATCCACCATTCATTTGATTTGTTTCTGTCAAAACAATGGTATTCTCTAGAATGAACGAGTCCTCTGTCACTGCTTCCATGCTGTCAAACTTACTTGTGCTAGCACTACCGGGTAATTTCGGACTTACACTGCGTTTTTTGATTCGATGATGCACAATAAAAATAAATCCCGCAGTGAAAGCAAGAATCAACACAGCACTGAGAATTTGTAGGAATATCAGGACTCCCTGATTAGCCTTCACTTCTGAAGAGTAGGCGGGGGTACTTTGCACAACGCCAACTTCTAACACAGCGATCTTAGTCCGACTGAGGTTTGACACCTCTGTGGCCTGAAATAAGGGATTTTTTTTTCAATTTTCGTTTCATATGCATTTGTAAAAAAAAAAAAAAAAAAAAAAAAAACAAGATCAGACATTTTTCTTGAAAGCATCAATTTCAAAATTAAAAAAAAAAGAAATAATCAAATATATGTGACGAGGGTACCTGGATAACCCCTTTTTTACCTGAATAATCATCATGAAGCTATGTGGGTCGTCCTCGGTTACTTCCCTTGTTTTGTTGACATGACCATATTGTGAGTTTATGGTGAAGTATTCTTCAAAACCAAATGGCTCACCTGTAAACGATCGTTTTCATGTAACAAAGTTGAATTATTGTTTTTCTTTTACTTTATTTCAAGAGGTAAAATATTTACAAACTTACCATAAAGAAAAGAGTATGTGACGTTATTTCCGGTTATATCTCCGTCAGCTGCCCCTATTCCACCAGGACTTGTTTCTAACTTCCCCTAGAGAATATATGAAGGAGCAATTTTTAACAATATTCTATATTTAATAGTAAAATAAAAAGAGAAAATAAATTCTTTCCTCTACTTCCTGTAAAAGCTCACAGTGTATCTGTAGCCAAAATTTTGTTAAGTGGTTAGTTCTGAGTTTTAAAAACAACCTATCAATACTAAATTCCGACTGTGTATTCTATGAACATGGTGGGGGGCTAGTGTGTACTGGATATGTTCACGGTTGAGGAACATATCTGAAGTAACTGAGAATGTACACTACACGTGACAGTTTGAAAAAGCTAGTAAGTTTTAGTCTTGGAGAACAGCCATAAATACATTTGTTTTGCTGCCTAGTTTTTCTATTTTTTGAGGGAGCTAGCAGTGAACGTAGTGTAAATTGGAAGAGTCCAGTATTGGAGATATTGGCTTTAATTTCTTGCTATATACATGTATACTCACAGTCAATAGAAACGCAACACCCTAATTTTAGGGTGAAAATTATATACGGGTTATAACTATGCACCAAAAAAGCTAGGACATCTTTTACTTTTCCAGATCAGTTATTTAACGGTTGAATGAATTTCTTTCCATTACCGGAAGTTGCTTTTTAGCCCTCTTAACAGAATTCAAAATTTTGCATTTTTAATAAAATTTTAACAATATTTTGGGTTTTCAAGGTTTTGAAGCTGTTAATCATAAGTATTGTACTAAAATCCCGGGGGAAAATCCTTCTTTCTTTACCGGATGTGATGCCTGTATTTCCTCAAAATGACTGACTTTCATTGCTAATGCTGGAAATTCTCAAAATAAAGAAAAAAAAGAGCTCCATATGCAAATGTACACTATATAACGACTCATCAGGCTCATGTATTTCAATAGCATAAATGGCAGTTTCTTGACCGGAAGTCCAAGAGTTGCTACACTACGCCAAATTAGAGAAAATTCGACCGCAGTATCTGAAAAACATGCATTTAAAAATGCCCAAGAATATTAATTTCGCTCAGATTAATACATTGATAAACCTAATTCATAGTAGAAATCGGGCTGCATTTGTTGTATATGGCGGACTAGCACGTTTTAATTAAATGGTCGGAAGGGGGGATTTTTTAAGAGTTACCGGGTATTTGTTTCTTTCTAAGGTCTAAAAATAACATTTAATGTTTAAATGAAGCATTAATTTTTTGTAGATTTACTTTTTACCTAAATATATTCATTTTTAATGTTATCATTAAACTTTAGAAGGTAACACATAACTCTTAAAACATCCCCCCTTCTTGCTATTAGTCATATTGAGGAAATATAGGCATCACATCCGGTAAAGAAAGAAGGATTTTTTCCCCGAGATTTGATTTTAGTACAATACTTATGATTAACAGCTTCAAAACCTTGAAAACCCAAAATATTGTTAAAATTTTATTAAAAATGCAAAATTTTGAATTCTGTTAAGAGGGCTAAAAAGCAACTTCTGGTAATGGAAAGAAATTCATTCAACCGTTAAATAACTGATTTGGCAAAGTAAAAGATGTCCTAGCATTTTTGGTACATAGTTATAACCCGTATATAATTTTCACCCTAAAATTAGGGTGTTGCGTTCCTATTGACTGTGAGTAAAAATTAGAACAGAACAAACAAGGACCTCCAGAAACATCAGCGGAGGGATCAGGGGGAATGGAGGAGAAAACAACACCTGTCAACCGGCCACATCCGTCGTGTGCTCCTTTTCATGATCAGGCAAACGGAAAATTCATTGTGTGAAATTCATGGCTTAAAGGTACTGGGACACAGATTTGAAGCTCATATTTTCTCTTTAATATTACGACTTATATATTTTAATGGCATTTCACACAAAAATAAATTAAAAATCTTATTTCATTTAAAAGTTATTAAAACTTCAAATTTTTTTGCGGGTTTGATTGACACATCCTTGCACTTTCATAAATTTTAACTTTATTCTTAATCCTTAGGAAAAGTGGCAACCTTATTGTGTATAAATGAAAAATATTAATACTATAATCTAGAAAATTTAAAGTAGACATGTTCGAAAGCAAAACAAACACACAATACATTGTCAGTCCGTGCAGTTGTAGAGAGCACTCTTTGACGATTGAACGCACCCGGTGAATCGTAAACATCAACAATAACAGAGCTTGTGCCCTGTTTACAAAAACTGTGTACATAACACGAGTGTGATCGATTTGCTAAACTCTGAACACAACACTTAACTCGGACTGACGATAATTGTGAAGGAGTTTTGCTTTCTAACATTTCTACTCTGAATAAAATTATTTTTCTGGATTAAAGTTTGAATATTTCTCATTAATACACAACAAGATTGCCACTTTTCCTAAGGATTAAGAATAAAGTTAAAATCTGTGAAAGTGCAAGGATGTGTCAATCAAACCCGCAAAAAAATTTGAAGTTTTAATAACTTTTAAATGAAATAAGATTTTTAATTTATTTTTGTTATATTATATATATTGTTATTTTGTAATATTATAGAGAAAATATTAGCTTCAAATCTGTGTCCAAGTACCTTTAAAAGTTTGTATGAAAAACATCAGTCGGCATTCGACTTACTGTCAGAATTTGCTGACAAGGTCATTGTATCGTCCATAAATCTTGCAAAACGTTGACTTTATACGAAACGTTTGATATCCTTGTTTCATTAACTTATTTTTAAACAGTTTGCCTCATTTTAGAAATTGTAGGTAGGTACGTAAAGTTTGTTCTAGGGTATCGAATTAATTGGAGACATAATCTCCACGTACAGATGAAAAGGGTATATATAATGCTACATATATATATAAGGAAAGGAGACTAAAGAAAAGTTGAAGTCATCATGTTTATCACAAAGTTTTAGTTGTTAGGCTACCATTGACGTCTATTTCAATTAAAATATCCGAATATGAAAACATATGTGTCAAACTCTGTGGCATCTTTAGTTTCAAGTTTACTGGGGTATATCAAAAGAAATATGAAATGTATGCAAACAGTTTATATGTATCAGTGAATACGAAATATATCTGCGTATTCTGACATTTTTGTTTGAGAGTTCTAAGATATTCCTTGCTAACAAATCACTGAGTAGAACTATAAATGCTGATTTCTTACGACATGTACGTACATGTATGTATGATGATTTTTGTTTAAGGAAGCTAGCGAAGTACAGATACTACTTTGAGGACTCGAATTGGTTGAGTTCAGTGTTGGAAAAACCAACCCCAAAACATTAATTTGTTGACTGCTTTACCGTGTAGAACATATCTGACATGCCTAGTTGTATGTTTAAGAAAACTTGCAAATGCTGGTGGCAGTATATCTTAAAAGTACACAGTTGAATGGTCAGTGTTTCAAATTACATTAACTTCTTACCGTATATTCTCTTACAGAGCTGGCTGTGTATCCAGACAAGGTACAGTTTGTAGATTCTGTATTAGAGAAGACAGGACCATTATCATCTTCATCAGTAACCGTAATGGTCATTACTTGCGTCTGCAAGGCAAGGTTAAAGAGGTATTAAGGATGAATAATTAGAAGACAATGAAATTTATAGATATTGTGTTTACCTTCCCATCTCATGTCCAATATCAGTTTTCTTTCATTGCAATTATTTACTTGTTTTCACTTTATCAAGAAAAATGTACAATTCCTCAAAAATGTTATAGAAAGGACGTCAAAACATTCTTACTAATGAAATTAAACCAATAATTTCATAAAGAAATCATATTTAAAAGGTATCCGTTTTGTAGGTCTTTTTTATTTAGGAATATCTGTAAACTTTATATTTGTATTATTAGGTAAAATTACAAAGTATCTTGTTATAGCAAAGAGAAAAATCACAAAAGCTTGCTGCATGCAGTGTTGACTTCTTTTAAAAATACTTACAAGATTTTCACAGCAAAATTTTATTTGGAAGTAAGTTAATGCAAATTTATCCTGAAAATAAAAATCAAAATGTATAAGTCTGGCGAAACTTGTCATTTTTTTTTGTAAAATAAAGATCGAAGAACGAATATTTAGCCTAAACTTATAGATGTTTAAATATATGCCATGTTAAACTTGACCTTCAAATTGATTTTCAGCAAGAATAACATACGTTCTCAAGGTAAATGTATTCAACATCAATGGATTTTTGTAGAATCAAAGACCACATGTTTTGGTCATGTTGAGCTTTTATGTAATCTGCAAGGAAGACTTTCAATTCTGGGGGGTAGATAATATTAAAATATATACTGTGGTTGAAGGCAGCTGTTAATGTCAAATTCACCAGATATGTATCTACAAAACAAAACAAATAAATAAACAAAAAGACAAAAAACAAAACAAATGAAATAGTAATTGGTAATCAGTAGTTCCTTAGTATATGATAAGTAGATATAAATATTCAATAGTTTATCAGTTTTATATTAAATTTTACTTGGTTTCTCAGATTCTGTAATGGTGATATTCTGTGGAAGATGGCTGAAGAATGAACTGCAGTCCCAAGGTTCAGCTGTGGATTGCGTGAGTACTATATAAATAAACAAACACAATTAACATTTGTTATAGATTCACTATAAAATTTACACTCTAAGATAAAGCTTTTGCATCAACGATAGATCTATTAATTAAATCGATAATAAAATAATGGACTCTTTGTTTTTTGTCATTTAAGATCACGGTGCTTGAATTAAGAATATTTGCATTTGAAATAAATATATTTCAAACACAAAACTAATTTCATTTTGTGAGTTAATCAGAATAAACAAAACATAAGAACATGTACCCAGCCATTGATAGATGATGAAACAAAATCCAAATGCGACTTGCTTCCACATACTAGTATTCACACGTTCTTTGATGCAAAACCTTTCTTTCTAAACATTTCTACCAATACATGACCACTGAAATCTTGTTTAAAGTATTGAAACATACTAAAGCTGGAGATAATACTGTTCTTTCTGAATGTCTTATCGTATTTATGATAAAATTCGCTGATACTGTACGGGCGCTAGAGTTTATGCCCATTCAAATAGTTTTTATCATATACAAGGAAAAAAGAACAGCATTTGAAAACAAAGTTACTTAATTCTACATCTCTTCATTGGAATAAATTATAACATTTCGTTAATTGTTGATATAATTAAAATTATTATATTATAAAAGTGCTGATAACAAGTTTATAATGAGATATAACTTTAATTTAGCACCTACTTAAAATGGAATTACATTTTTAAATAATATGTGGCTATAATAAATTGAAATTATCTTGTAATAACTTTTGATGCCATTGTTAAAATTAAATTATTTCAGTCCTGATTTCTGATTATACTTAATGACTAAGGCATGTCATGATGTGTCATAACTGCATTTCCTCATCCCAAAACATATTCTAACACTTTAAAATCAATAAATTCACTATTACTTACAGGAATTCCATAATATTTACATATCCTAGGATAACATGCTAAATTAAATGTTTAAAGTATTATGTATAAAGAATGTGCATGTACATGCAGCTGTTTCAAATTTTTATGTTACGAAGAGAATTTCATTTTTCTTGAATATCTTTTTCTTGCCCTTGGGTCCTCGTTATTCCTTAGAGCAGGTTCACATATAAGTGATGACAAGAATATCGAGATAGATGTTTTTAAATGACTACAAGACATATTTCATAAGAAAGTCATACAAAACATTTCTCTGAAATCTAACTCTATGTATTTCAACATTCCATTGGTCTTGATGATACTCGATGATTACTGTAAATTTCGGTAAATGTAGCAAACTAGTCAAATATAGTAAAAAAAGTCCATAAAACATACAAAATAGGAGCAGAGCAAACACGGACCTCACCTCCAAAACTTCGGAGTTGGGATCAGGTGATATGGAGGAGTGAACATCCCCTGCCAATTGGTCACACCTGCCGTGTGCTCGTTGTCATGATTGGGAAATAACGTGAAAATCCGTCGTAAATTCAGTGTATAAATAATGGACTAACAATGAGAATGAAAAGTGTTCTTGCATTTGACTCGATGATAAATTGTATTTGCTGACTAGGTCATTGTATCGACCATAGAACTTTCGAAATGATGACTTTAAACGAGACTGTTGATATTCTTGTTTCATCAACTTTTTGTCAGTAATTTACATCGTTTTAAAAAATTGTTCATACGTAGAACACGCTCTTGCGTATCGAATCAAGATATATAAACTCCGTATGCAGGTGATGAAAGTATACTGCTGCATAAGTAAGGGATGTTGACGATAAGAAAATAATTATAACAAACATAGAATTTACAAAATGCTGACTTTCAACGAGGTTGTTTGTCGTAATCTAAAACCTTGATTGTACACAGAGTAAGCTTTTATGTATAGACAAAGTGAGGGATATGAACACCATACTCGTGTGACAGCAGAATATTATAACATAAATAGGGAAAGTTGACAATTTAAAGCTGAAGTTTTCTCGTTTGCCATGCAATTTAGTTGTTATTTATTATCGTCTTAAGTCGGTGTTTATAAGGTATAACAGTCAATTATGAAATAGATATGTCAAACTTAGTAGTGTACTTGTTTGATGTCAAGTTCACAAGGATTATTTAGAATTTCATGGAAATGCACCAAACAAATTATTAAAGGAAAGGAGATCAGTCCTGTACTGAATCCAAACCCGTACATAGATAATCCATAGAGTCATCAATAAATCACAATGTAAATACAATACTCTAAATGGTTGTGGGATTCAGCCGGAACTGTAAAACAATAACTCTACTTGAAATTTACAACTTTTTAATGTCTTTTTTCAGGTAATGATAAAGCAATCTCTCTAAGCCCAATGAATTTATATCAAATTTATTTTGTTATTTAGTTGTTGTTAAAACTTTAAATCATTGCACATAGCTGTTAACACCAGAACCAATTTACAATGTTCTTATTGACACTGAACTTAATCAGTATTAAGCCTCTAACTTTAAAGAAAAATAATTTAGAAGTTTCTTATGTCTTACTTGGCATTAAGATAAACAGAAACCACATTTGATATCATCCAATCTATATTCCTGTAAAGTTTGAGTGAAGTCTTTGGTTATGAAACCCACTCCATGATGATGACACAGGAAATGGTAAAAATAATCAATGAATCTATCGCTCGTCCAGCACTCGGTGGGACCGAGGCTGAAGGACGTAAGATATTTATTATTAAAAAAGAATCAATTTCTTTGTTTAATCTCAGCCATTAAGCACACAAACGTTAAGTGGTCCAGCGAGCTTGAGGAATTGAGAACTGTGTGAACAATATGCCCATCTACAAGTTAATTTTGAAGCATATACAATTTGCCCATCGGTTTTACACAGTTAATTTGGTAATTCGTTATAACCGTATATTCATTAAACATATAAGAAACTATATTGATTTTATTTGTTCTTTCTTTTAAAGGGTTGTTGAAGAATAATTATACTTTTAAAGTTTAAACTATATAAATATGATAGGTTAATATACTTTTCCATGTAATGTAAACTTTCCAACTTAAGTGCAATAAATATGCACTATCATTATTTGTTGAGCATTTAAAAAAGCAATATATATAGCTGCTAGTGTTTAAAACATATATAAAATTCAAGTATTATATTTATATAAAACTCGGAGAAAGTGATGGGAAAGAGTTGATTTTGGACATGAAATCACGGATTGAACAAGAAAGTAGTTTCAGCTTCATAGATGTATCAAAGATTATAATTGATGCTTATCACATTTTTTGTAGTTTTACGATGAAGTCAGTTTAAAACTATGTGTGATGACGCCCTAAACAAGGTAATTTATACCTTCAAAATGAAATCTGAAAGCAAAGTTGATAGGAGCAATGAATAAACATAGAGAGAAAACATGCTGAAATGCGTGACGTACAAATGTGAAATCAATACAACATACTGTAAACAGATTACATACACAATTCATAATTAAACTATTGAAACATCACTTCATATATAAATTCTTTATGCAGAATTCAATTATATTAAGCCATTGTATGTACTTATTAAATGAGTATATTACATCATTTCTGACTGTATATTCTACTATGAACTGCATGCGTTTTGTCAATAATAATAATAATAAAACAACCCAAAACTGTATACCGTGGTATTCATTATGATTAAATGTAAACAGTCATGTACAGACCATAAAAATGATTACCAATTGCAACATATTAAAATATACTTTGCAATGTTGTAATATTGGATGTTGTCAATAATAATAATAATGTTAAAACAACAAATTACATGTACCATGCTAATCATTAGATTAAATGTAAAAAACGCATAAAAATAACCAATTCAATTTAACATATTAAAACTGGATTTACTTTGCATTTTAGATCGTCATTTAATTGAAAACTAAATGGAATAGTTTCAAATATGCAGTAATTACACCTTAGGTTTATAACTGAATTAAGATATGATTTTTGTAGCTAGGGATATAAGGACAAGTACCTCTTAAATTTTCACATTTTTTCATGTCGTACTTTAAAATAAACCATCTTGAAAAATATGCCAAATGCAATGTAAAAGTACGTGTATACCATACTAAATAAAAAAAATTATATGATACAGGTACCAGGTACCAGGCACTGATTTTAATTGCAATAAACATTGATAAGACCTACAACATTAACGTTAAGACATAAATACCAAAGACAGGTGTATCAATAAAAATTTTAAATAGAAAAAGACAACTTGACATGTCTGTGTTTACACAGATATGCACCTTCTGTGTTTTACAAATTACAGCAAAAATCCATTTTCGTGCAGCGTTTATAGCTCATTTATTGCCAGTTCTTAAGCATTCCATAACCTTACTTGTATTAACTGATATGGTCTCTCAGTCGAGTTTTGTTGTTATTTGATCAACAATGTCAACATAAAATGCTATCGGACCCCGAGTTTTATATCCCATGTTCAATTTATTACCATGATTGAATCAATCAAGTTTTAGGTTTCTAAATCTTACTTCTAATTTTTTTACTGCCAAAACTTTTGTCGATAATGTTATCTTTCCTTTTCAAAATTAATTAAAAAATAATGAGATCGCTATTGATCAAAGGATTCCATGAAAAAAAAGTTTATCGTAAATTGACTACGTTGTCATTTTTTTGTGATCGATTAGAATTTTAAAAAAGAAGTGGCATTTGAAATTAAATACACATTTCACAGGATGATACACTAATTAAAGATTAAAAAAATTAAATGTTTTTTAAACCATAAAATTAGACATCATTTTTTTTTGTAATTTTATTCAAAGTAGCATTGCATCATTATTTAACAAATAATAAAGTAAATCTAAATTGCAATAAAACTAAGGTGGGCATATCAAAATCGGAAAGTTAATCAATAACGTTCTATTTGAATAAATTCTACTATTGTATACAAACACTTTCTTGTATTTGAGATAATGTATACCTTACATTTCTATTGAAATCAAATGGGAGTCATTATGGGTTTTGAGAGGGCCTTATCTGCCTACACGTAGGTAACCCTTTCCTTATCAGCTGCTCCTACCCGAAGTGGCGGCTTATCAGGCTACCAGGTAAAGAACACTATCCAATATTCGCATTATAACGACTAACATGGATAAAATCCAAACCTAAACGGACACCTGTTACTAAGGACAACAATTTGTTGTGAAATTTTTTATATTTTATAAAAATTACATCTTTTATTACCTCTGAGATTATTTACCAGTGCTTCAAAAAAAAGGACAGAATGCCACTTGGAAAGCCATAAATCATTCAGCCATCTTGAATATCAGTAGATCAATGGATTACAGAAGTATGCATATTGGAAATAAATGGTAAGTTTACTTTTTTAAAAAAACATTTGACAATTTATAACCTTGAAGATATCTAATGTAATTAAAAAAAAATCTTATATAACCCCACACCCACTGCTAGAAACATGTCTGATCTAGTTCATTATGCCTCTTCATAGGGTATGATTTATATGTCATTCCCTCTTTATTTCAGACATCCTACGTACGGCCATTTAAAGCAACATTTATAAATAAAGATGAGCTTTTTATCCCCATTTCTCTTCACTTTTATTTTCACACCTGATATTCTAGCAAAGAAATAAAATTTGCAAGAGCATGCACACACATATTTACTATATCCTTTATCTTTGTTTAAGTGTGATGACTATTACTTATGATTAATGCTAAAATATGAAAGAGCAATTCTGTTCATCTTTCTGGCCATAATGGCAATGGGTAAAAACAGGAATCCTTGCGCAATAAGAATCCTGTTCTCATAAATGAAATTCATCTACATTTGAGTTACTCAATAATAAGGTTTCTCTTGCTTTTGTGATTATATTTGTATAAAATCATTTTCTAAATATTGCTAAATAAAATTACATGTAATTAACATATCTCTTTTCTTGTATAATTGAAATATATAGAGATAACGAACAATTTTCAAGCTCAAGAGTCAATTAAACAATACTAATTTTGTAGCAATACAATAACGGGCCTCTAAAATATCAGAGGTGGGACTAAGTGCCACGGAGGAGTAATCAGCACACCCACCTTAGCTTGTGCTCTTTGCATAATTGGGAAATAACGGAAAATAAGTGTGAAAACATTTGACTTAATTAAAGATAATTTGTATTTGCTGACAAGGTCATTGTGTCGATCTATGAAATGACAAAACAGTGACTTTAAACAACACTGATGATATTCTTGTTTCATCAACTTGTTTGTCAATAAATTTCATATCAAGGTTTTGAAGTTATGTTTTTTATTTTCTAGAAGGAACTCCAAATATCATGGCGTTTGGTTATTTTTACGTCATATTGGCAGTTTGGGTGCTATCTATAACACACACAGAAGGTAAAATTGTTCATAACTACATGCACAAGTAAAGCAGATTAGTGGATTTTCCATGTGGATAAATATGATAAATAAAACAGAAAATATTGCTTTTTATTAGTTAATGTGCCACGGAAATTATACACAAGAAGTGACACTTTTACATTTTAGCTAATTTGATAAAAAAAAAAAATCTTACTTAATATTCATTATTTGTTACTATTTTCTTGAATGTTTTGTTTCAGGAGTTTGTGACGTCCCAAATTTTATTGAAATAAAAGAAGATGCAACGGGTATGTTGTCATTATCTGCTAGTTTATTCCCAACTATTGACTTGAAATTAATAAGAAATACTTTTTATCAACAGGAAACATATTAAATAATTCAATAACAACTGCTGTACCGTTTACTTGGGACATTACCGAAGTGTCAGGTCGTCCTATAGGAAGCCTAAGCTTTGAAAACCAACAAAAAATTAAGGAATACTTTTCATCGGGCAGGAATAATGATTCAGTATGGATTAACGTTGTTAAGGCGATTGATAAAGAAAGTCTCCTTCTCGTGATTGAGGTAAGTTACATGCACACAGAAAGCAAGATAACAATCTGTCTTTTGTCTTACCCTATATCGTAAATATTCCTCCCTATGAAAACAAATGATATTTCCTTTTACAGATGATTGTGGGTAACATCCAATTACGAGTAACGTGTGCCAATATTATGACAGTATGTTGATGGTTATATATTTTATTGTTTTCATATTCAACTATTATTAAGAATATTTGCAGTTTTCAAAAAATCTTATATGATATATAAAAATTGATTTACAAATATAAAATGTTCTCACAGGATATGACAGTTGTAATTGCGTCAGTAAATGAATTTCCACCAGAGTTTGGATCAAATGTTTACTACATCAATGTCTCAGAGGTGAGTAATCATTTTATTATACACTTCAATTTGTAAAAACGAGAATATTTAAAGATATTATCTTATCCTTTACTTGCTTAAATTATTGGTAATTTTTCTTCAGAAAATCAGAGAAATAATATGCTTTTCCCTATTTCAATTTATTCAGTTCAATTTTTATGCAAGTTCGTCGTAGATTCAAGTTTATTCAAAACATACTCATGGGTCAGAAAAAGGGTGTTTTAAAAATAAAATTCATTATTCTATCTTAAGAATAATATTTGTTTACCTTCTCCCAACTCAGTGTAATAAAATTCGATTGTTAGGTAGGTGGGGTATTTTTCCTCGAAAATGTCAACATACTTATTGAAAGGATAAGAAAATCCAGGGAAAAAAATGGTTTCCTGGATTTGAAAAAGGGGTATTTTTAAACAGTCTTTAGGGGGAGGAAAATCAAACATTTTTTTTAAAAGATGGCCTGAGGGATCTCCATACTAGATGTATTGAAATAGTTTGTACAATATATAAAAAAGTGATGATTAAACCAAAAAAAAAGTTTTTATGTTCCTGTAAGCGAAGATTTGGAGGTATATAGTTTTTGTCATGTCCGTCCGTCTATCTGTATGTTTAATATATATTTGTCTGTTTATCCAAAAAAAAAAAAAAAACTAAAGCCTTGCCTTAACTTTTGAGTGGTTGGGACTGTGGCTGACATATTTTACAGGTGTATTCCTTGTCACCTTTCTTTCGTAACACTAAATTTGACTTCGCCACCTTGACCTTGGAGTTTGACCTTCTTTAACCAAAAAATTCCAAACTTTAATCATCGCCAAAACTTTTGAATAGTTTTAACGTCACACGCTTATTTACTGTGACAAGACTTTTCATTGGGTGTAATATATTTGGCCTTTTGACATTGACCTTAGAGTTTGGCCCACTTAAAAAAACCCTTAAACCTTGACCATAACTTTTTTTAACCGTTAGTAATTGGGTACTATAATATTTCACAGTTGTTTTCCTTGCGACAAAACCTACCTTTGAATAGCAACAGTTTTTACCTCTTGACGTTAGAGTTTGACCCATTTAAACAACTTTATCCTTGACCATAACTTTTTAACTGCTAGTACTAGGGTTTTCATATTTCACAGGTATATTTCTTGTTAAAGACCCTTTGGGTATCAACAATTTTGACCTTTTGATCTTGACCTTGGAGTTTAACTTACATTAAAGAAATTTCAACGCTTGCCATGAGTGTTAAACGGGGCATTAATGTTTCACAAAAATATCTTGTTTTTATGATGTAAGAGGTGAAAATAGCGATCAGCCACCGATCTCATAAAATCTATAAATAATACAATTATGTGAAGAGAGCAGAAACACTTTATTCATATTGTCCTTAAATTCATTTTATCCTTAAAATGACTGAATAATCCATTAATCTGATCAGTCAAACTGTGGAAAAAATCATTTTATATTAATCTATCACAAGCCTAGTTTGACTTTTTTGTTTATCAGACATTGTATTTTAATGTTTTCATGAAAGAAAAACATTCATTTTTCTGTTGTAACTTTTTTTGTCTAAGACAAATAATGTCTTATAATGGAAATGAATGAAAATGAACAAAATATAATATTCAGAACGTGTATTTTCCGTAAGTATTTTCGAGAGAAAAAAATTGCATCTTAGATCAAAAAGTTTTTTTTATTCAATTATTCAATTTTTATCAAACATCCATTCAAATTATCATCCATTAGTTTACTCAACTGCACATTCTAGTATAAAATGTTTGTTGTTTAACGCCCCTCTCGAGAATTCGTCAATCATATGGATATTCCACCACTAGCCGGTGGAGAAATGCAAATGTTGTCCTTTACTCTGCACTCAGGCTCATTAAATGAAATGCGTTTCAATTAAATATATGGAGATAACAAACAGCATTCAAACTGAAAAAATCCATTAAACAATACTAAATAGTAGCAGAGCAAACACGGATCTCAGAAACATCAGAGGTTGGTCAGGTGCCATGGACTTAATTTCATGAATTTCAATAAAGTACAAATGCTGTAACACTTTTTCCCAATCATTTTACAAAAAAACCCCAGTAAACAAAAGTCTTTCTGCTTAATTTGACACATGTTAAAACTGTAGAGCATCCTCCCAAGAACAACAGTATATACTATCAATGACGTCACTGACCGGGATGTAGATGAACCCAGTGATCGAAGATATACAGTTTCTAGAGATCTTCCAGAGGTATGTCAATTTCTCAAACAGTCTGCTGCTTTGGACAACTAGTCTTTTTTAAAGGTAGCATTGGAGCGCTCTTTCTGTGGCAAACGTACCATATTTGTATGCATTAGATACGATGCAATTGTGAATCTACCTCAGTAAATATTACTTTACACAAATGAATTTTGTATATGTGTTGATATTCCTTCACGTTTGTTTAAAGTTTGATGGAACCCCGTATTTCGGAATGAAAACAGGCAGTAGCCCAAATATTGTCCTTCTACAATCTATTGACTTTGATGCAATTGTTAGTGCCGGGAAGGTCCCGTCATATCTTATCCAAGTGACTGTTGCGGTAACTTTCTTCATTTATTAATGGCTAAAATATAATTTTCTAATACATGTTTTTTCCCTACATTTCAGTTTTCTTTTAACATACTGTAATTTGATGCGCTGAATTAATTGACTGCATTAAATATAAATATTTGGTGTATTTTAATAGTTCGAATAATGACAGGTTTATATGGCATTTTGTATTATGATGATATTTTTCTTTTGTTTAAGGACAATGGTGGAAAGACAGGCAGTGCCCGTTTTAACTTTACAATCATCAATGAAGATGACCAGCCTCCTGCTTTCTTCCCGAGCTGTGGTATCAGCTGTACGCCAAGTTATACTGCCATTGTCTCTTTCGGACATAGTGTGAGTAACGTTTTATGTTATTTAACAAATTAGCACCTATTGTTTAACAACAAAATTAAAACTAATTAAAAAAATTAGACTATATTTTGAAACCAGGGACCACTGACCAATGTAACACCTGCAGCAGTACAGGCAGCTGACCTGGATAGGCAGCATGCCGTGAGATATAGTCTTCTTCAAGGTAATATTACACATTTTAAAAAAAATATTTAGTTGGTTCTATAATCACAACATACTTTAAAATGTTTATATATCTAAAGGTATATAAGTGCTCTACGTTTTTATAAACGCTAACATTAATTTTCAGACTCCGAGGGGTATCACAGAGGCTTCAGAATAGACGCAAACACTGGTGTCTTGACTGCAGTCTCGGCTGTTACACGGACATCCGTTTTACAGATCAAAGTATTTTCATTTGCGCTTTGAAATAATGAATAAAAATTTTTTTAATGTGTTTGTTTAAATGATTATTGTTTTCAGACGTGCTTAAAATATTTGAAGAATATTCAAGTAATAAAATTTAATTTTTTTTTACAATATTTTAAAACGAACAAGATTCTAAAGTTTGGAAGTTTATAAAAATTATGGAACAAAATTATTTCATATTTTAGGCAACAGAAAATTCTGCCTTGCAAAGGTCAGCATTAACAACGATGCTTGTCAAGATATCAACTAATACGACGGGGGTAGAGCCACCGAGAGTAGGACAATCGGTCTCAAAGGAAGAAGATGATAATATGATGATAATAGTCATCGTCGTCGCAATCATCTCTCTCATTGTCATCGTTGCTCTGATTATAGCACTCGTTGTATATTGCAAAAGACAGAGAAAAAAGACAGTGAAACCCGGAGATGTCTGCTCTACTCCTTCGGGTTCTCAGGACGCCCTAAATGCCGATAAAGAACTAAGCAGCAGTAAACAAGAACTCTTACAGTCGTACGGCATGTTTATGACGTCACAGGATGGGAAGAATAATCAACTTCCGCCTATCAGTAAGGTAGACATGATGATAGGAACCGATGAATTCAAGAAAAGGTCAAGAAGACGAAAGAAGAAAGAATTGGAGGTGTTTGATGGGACGAGGGAATATGATATGGAGGCAGACGTCAACTTCTTCAAGCAAGGATCGAAGTCTAAAATCAAACGATCGACACGTAGTATCAAAGAACAAAAACTGGATCCGAAATATTGGATTACAGTACAAAATGGCTACTTGGAATAGGGATTTTTTTTTCCTGTATTTTTATTTGGTAGATATTAGATATAAGTGCCATAAGTTGACTGTGATAAACTGTGTGACTATAGTTTTGATTTTGTGTGAAAAAGAGCTTAATTGTACACATTATATATTTATGTTTATACAGTGACAGTTTTTTTTAACTTATTCCAGTAAAAAAGCTATAAGTAACTTCTAAATGTCGTCCATCAAATAATGTATTATATGTACGTCTTCTCTAACTCGATAAATTTTGTAGAAGAAATCCATCAAAAAGTTAATGAAAGAGGTTTTCTTATAATTATCTTTTTGATGGAAGTTTTTTTTTCCTTGTTAATAGCAATGCACACTCTAAAACAATGAAATATGGAGATAACAAACAGTGAATGTGGTTATATCAAAGAGGTAATTTTTCTTCTCATTTATATTGATAGTTTTAAAATATAATCTGCTTTTAAATTGATGAGCCCGGCTCTCTTTTTACTTTGATTCTCTCTCTAAAATCTTTTTCTCATGTTTCCTTTTGTAATTTAATAATGTCAAAATACTTGTGTTATATAATAAGGTCAAATTTCTTAACCTATTTGGAATTTTTTTTTAAAGTAAACACAGCACACAATTAAAGGACTAATTAGAATATGTATTTTTCCATTCATGTCATTAAAAGTATGTGTAGGAATTCTACCTTAATCGTATGAGTTGAATAAAATATATTGATACAATTTCGAGAAACGGATGTTGAATCATGAAGTTCATTGTCAGGAATTGCATCTACACCTATGTAAACTTCGATATTGTTGTTATTTTTTCCGAATTTACTCATAACATCAGAAAACAAAACATAAACATAGTTTGCTTGATATTAAATATTAAACCTAAAACGATTTAATGAATTTGAAATCACCGCTGACTCGCATGTTGATTTATGACATTTTTCAGACTTATTGTCAGGCCATTCATTACACACTAAATTGTTGAGGATTTTTCTGTTATTTCCCATTCTTGCTTTACAAGGAGCACACCGCGGATGTGACCTGTCGGCAGGGGATGCTCACTTCTCCATGATACCTGATCCCACCCCTGATGTTTTGGATGTCTATGTTTGCTCTGCTCCTGTTTGTTTTGTGTAATGAACTTTTAAGCTTTAATGCTGTTGGTTCTCTTCATATATTGCACCATCATGTTTCTTGGATACTAACGGTACATCAATACCACAGCCATTGACGTCCGAATCGATTTCTTTAATAAATGTTTGCATTGCACTGCTTCTTTTTTTATGAACGGCAAACATTACAAAAGATAATTAAATTTTAATAGTGTACAATATAATGATCCTTTTAGATGTTTAAGCGAAATATATTTGTCTGGTAATCAATATAAATCAAGTACTTTTTCAGCCTCTTTGTTTTTAGGTCCGTCAGTATGCTTAACTGTGACGTCAGGAAATATAACTGAAAAGTATCATGAATGAAGAATGACAGTATCTGAAAAATTCTTTGTATTTATTCGAGAATGTTTTAAAAGGTATTGTAGGAAATCATTTAATAAATTACCGTATCTAATAGTAGGCTAATCTGTCATCTCATATATTCTACCTCTTATTTGTGATAGCAATAACAACAGAAATATTGCAAGCATAGAAAAGTGCACATTGAGGGTGGAGGTAAAATAAGGGCCACTGATACCAACAAAGTCCAAGCTTTTCGGCTTTATTACACTATAATAAACAATTCGTATATAGTAGTATTTTGTAAAAGGTTTGATAGATATGTTTTGGGCTGATTGTTTTAGCCCTTTTCATTTATTTAAAACTTTCTAAATTTTTTTTTTATAAAATCCCTCAAGATTTGACGTTATAATTTGTAGATTTTTGGTTTTACTTTTTAAAATACTTTAAAAGTTAAAAAACTACCTAATGTTATATTTTAAAAAATTAAGATTTGATGCTATAATTTTGTGAAGCATTTTGAATAAGATTTCTAGTATATTGAATGTTTTTCAATGCTCAAGAATAAAACTAATATTTTTGGAGAGTTTTCAGTAACAATGAAAACAAGAGATACTGTGAGCGCTGAACTCACTAAAATCCTCCTATTCCCATATTAATATACAATGTAATGGTAAATTCCATTTCTTGCTATTGAGAAGTTCAAATGAGGTGCACAAAAGCACATTGGAACAAACTTTCTGTGAATTAAAGTTTTATTCAGTGGTAAAGGAGTAGTTGTGGATAAGAGATTGGTACCTCAATAAAATTGAAAAGATTTTGGAGAGTCTACGTATTGGTGTAGAAAATTATTATATTTCCAATGAAAAGGTCATTTTGAAGGTGCACGATGGCAGTATGTAACAAAGATTCTTTGATAGTCTTATCAAATTCAGTGGTATAAGAATAGTTGAGGCTTAGACACTGGCATCCCAAAACGAACCGGTCACACATGCAGACTATAACGTATACAGTAAAAATCAGAGGCCCTTTAATATGTCGGATATTTTTTATATATTCCATTGTAAATTCCAAGAGATTTAAATTTTTTAACAATTAGTATTCTTATTAGACGTGACGTAAAAATACCAAACATGATATAATGTTATCTAAATAAACTATTTGATAATATTTCTATGTGTCTTAAATGAATTCCGTTTTAATAAGATTTTAATAAACAGGTCAAGAAAACATCACGTTTAACAATTTTATGAAGATTCTTTACACTTGTTAAAGTTTTAATTCTAAACAAAAAAATAATTCAAATAATATAATGTCTGTGCAGTAAAATATTTTACCTTAAAACTTTTATACTTACCAAATTGCCATAGAATCATTACTAATCCACAATTTGAATAATATTTCATGTTTCATTTTTGATGACATGAGTGCACAGGGATAGAGAGAGCATCTGCAGTGGACGATGAGAATTCCTATTCACGCAAAAACTCAGAGGAGATGTGTACATTTCATCAAAAGCAGTGTAAACCGTGTTGTTAATAAATTACCTCTCTGTTAAAATATATCATATTGATTACGGTCTTTCTGTTCATTATAAAGTCTGAAGCCAAACAAAGGTTTAAAAAGTGTACCACAGGTTCACATCGAACGTCGATATATGGCTTCAAAAATAGTTTTCCATTTGAATAGATAGTCGCTATAAATCATTCATTTTTCAATCTCAGATTTCTGTAACAACAGTATTTTGAATTTTACAGAGGGTTTCCCCCACGTTAAGCTGTCATTTCACCATTTTCTTCAACATGAATTAACTGAAGAACCTTCATCGATTGTCCTCTCAATGAAAAAGACAAAACAATAATTTGTAAAGCTGTTTCTCGGTGGCTGTCTGTGAGCTATTTAAAAGAGGAAATGGAGACTGGCAGAATCTTTTTTTTTATATCTTCATTATGGCATCATTTTATTGCGTTGGGAGCTTCAGGAATAAAGCAATGATTGAAATGCACTCTGTCAAGTTATCGATTAGGGTCGCTGAATGGACTGCTGATGTAGATCACTGTGACAGGGGGATATGTTTGGTCTCCAAAACAGATTGACACATTACACAAGTCCTCTGTGACTGAGCCGACCACTATATTTCTTCTCCCGAAGGATTGCGCTAGTACTGTATATGAATCATCATAAGTAGTCCATGGGTGGTAAATTGCTCGATTTTGATTAAACAACAGTTTTTAATGATAAAAATTGATTTTTTCATTAACTTCTTTATAGCCCACCTATTAATTGACTAGGTAAGTCATTAAACACTTATCGCGCATAAAAGACTTTATGATCGTGACAGTTTCCCATTTCTTTGCAGGAGAAGAAAACCTTGAAATATGTGTTCCTCCTGTAGTAACTGATGTTTCAACGTTATAAGACTCAAATTGATTTGAAATAGGTTATAGAATTTTTTCTTCATGAAATAAGGTGTGTTGCATCGTGTGAGGTAATTTCTATTTGAGAATGTCTTTACTTGCAAAATATCTTAGTTAATTATTGATCAAAGTTCTGTATGGTAAACATTGTTACCTGTTTTGTCAGCAGCAGTATAAAACCATTAATCTTTTTTTCTCTCTCTCTATCCTTTGTAAGGACCTAAAAATTAAAGAATGCAACATGACTTATAATTTGTAATTTGATTTCAAGACTTTCAATCATCAACGTTTTAATAAATAAAACCTATTGTACTGAGTATGCTCCATACTATTTGTTATGTCGTTTGCGTTATACTAAATTAGACTACGGAATATTCCATCTAGCTGAACAATATAGGACTCGTGGTGAATGTCACTGGTCAACAGGGGATGCTTACTCTTCCTATAAACCTCTATTGTTTCGAAGGGTCCGTGTTTTTGTCCTTTTCATGATTCTTTGTGATTACTGGATTTGTGAGACTAATCATTGTCTTTATCTTCACTTTTTTCGTTTTCAAATTGTACCATAAATGCATGCCTAAAAGGTAATAAGTATAATAAAAATTAAAGGTACATTCAGGCGTCATTTGGATATTCTATGTAATGCTAAAATGATGAAGAAAACTAACATTTCAACTTGTAATATTACTTTTCAGTTAAATGTTATAGAGGTTTAAAAACTAATTGTTTGTGTGTGGCTCAGTAGTAGCACGTCTGCTGTAGAGTAGCGGAATAAGGAGTTAATTCTCACGTTTCGGCTTCGAATCCCTCTGTTGGACGTGGAGACCTGTCCTTCGGATGAGACCGTATAAACCGAGGTCGCGTGACTCAGTAGATGCTGGCACTGCTCAATGACCGTGAATGCCCAGTATAGGTAAAAATTTGTAGCTCTCCACTGCAAAGTGTTGGAGTCTCCATCTAGAAAAATTCTCAAGAGAGAAATTTAACAATTTAACAATATCAAAAAAAAAAAAAACATACGTGTACTTGTAAATTTATTAGATGTAAAAGTTTAATCTGCTTGTGTTCCTCCGTGACAACATTTATGTATTCCTCGGAAACCAAATATTTTCTAACAAAAATTGCTTAATTTCCAATTAACACCAATTGAGCCCCTTGATTAAGTCTCTTTTTGTGGCAAGATTGCAATAAGACTACAACTGCAGGAGTACCTTTAAATAAAATTTTACAGCATTTTTAATTTTAGTTATCATGGCAGTATCGTTCATTAAAATCAAAAACACAAAACTGATAATAATGTATCTCAGTGTAGTCTACTTGCATGCCAAATTATATTATAATCAGACTAAAATTTCATTTGAAACATTTTGAAAGTACATGTATTTCACAGATATTTTTATTTTTATAACCAAGACAACGTCGTTCATCGAAATCAAAAACCGATTTATAGAATTATGTATTTTAGTGTATTCTACTTGTGTGTCAAGTTACTAGTTTATTGAAATCAGACCAAAATTCTAGGAGGAGTAGCATTTTAAAAGTATTTTACAGAAATTTATAATTTTAGTAACCACGGCAACACCGTTCATTGAAATCAAAAACCGATATATATGGAATTATATTTTAGTGTAGTATACTTGTGTGTCAAGTTATATTGCAATCAGACCAAAACTGTAGGAGGAATAGCATTTTGAAAAAAAAAATTACAGAAAGACGGATGGATGGACGATGGACGCATTACTATCGCATATAAGCTCTTCTGATCTCTGACCAGTAGAGCTAAAAGCATACATTTGTACATACGTTTCCTTGTAAGTTTATTAGATTTAAAAGTTTTATCTGCTGGTATTCCCAATTGATAACATTAAGTATTCTTCGGAAACCAAATATTTTCTCACAAAAATTACTGAATTTCCAATTAACACCAAATGAACTCTCTATCTGACCTGTTTTATACTCCTATGAAGCAGAATTTATTAAAAAAAATTCACGAGAAGGAAAGACTTGGTGTGGCCGTTATTCGACATTAAGATATATCAATATTGATTTAAATAACAAAGATTTTTTTCATTCATATGCTGACTGGTTATATCCCAGTGTACACTACAGAGTCTGACACATCTGTTTCATATTTGGATGTTTGACAAAAACACAATAAGCAGATGGTAGTTGGATATGTGTACAAAAATAAGGAAGTGGCGATGAAAAAAGCTTAAATCATCTTGATTGTCATTCAGTTTAGTGTTAAGTTGACGAAAACGGCCAACTAACCACTAAACTGTTTGACAATCAAGATGACTTATTTAAGCTTTTTCATCGTCAACTTTCCTTTATTTATGTACTCTAATATCCAATCACTTTCTGCTTATTGTGTTGTTGTCTTCAAACCTATTTGTTTTTAGAGCTTACTCTAACTGGCAACAGGGGATGGTTACTCCTCGTGGGGAAGAACTAGAAAGCAGATGAAATTTATTATCTATATAACTTAAATAGATGTATATTGATATTTTTACATTTCTTTACTTTCAATATTTTTTAATACGTTCAATACTTTCAACAGTTTTTTTTTTTATTTTGTTTTTATTTTTAATTCAAATCAGGGACGAAAGTCGGTCGGAACCATATGTATATTTTGTCTTTTGATAGATGCATGAAAAATTGCAGTTTTTGACAAAATCAGACTTAACTTTTTTCAGTATCAACAAAACTACCATTCATTATTAAAAATAAAAACGACTTGACAGTTTTTTTTAAATCAATCTTAATACATTGTTCGTACAGTCTGTTTAAGATTTGAAGATTTGCTGTATACATGTAATATACTTTATAAGCAATGTAACTTTATTTCATAATTATCATCAGTCGCCGTAAGAACATTCTAATCACTGAAAAAAAAAGATTTTAGTAGGGAGAGCAATATCGTCTATTACAATCATACACCAGTAACAAGAATTATATATTTTTTTATGTTCGACTGGTGTAAGGACGTAAAATAATGCATTGTCTTAAGCCGAATGATCATCAGATCGCACAGAATTCTTCAGGGAAAGGGGGGGGGGGTCATAATTATTTGTGTGAAACTCAATTTTAAGATTAAACTTCGGTCTCTTTATCAGAAATTTGAAAACTGAATTTAAACTTTACTATGCCTAATCACGTTTGACAGGTATTTTCTTTTAGAGTATCGATTTTAGACAATTCATACCCATCGATCCCCATAGAAATTTTGTTATCAGTTCGGCATTGACATAACTGATAAGTCCGCTTACCTGATAAAGTAGAAAAAAAAGCTTGAAATTCACGCTGGGACTTAAGTTCTGTAACAGAAGGAAATGATCGCAAAATCGTTACAAATGATCAAACTTCGCCATAGTTCCTCAAAATGATCTTGTGTCCATATAAACCGCCTAGGATGAGTTATTTTTAAAGGAAAAAAGACAGACCCGAATATTTTTATTTTGATTTTATTTATGACTGGAACCAGGAAGTTAACAAAGAATCAAATAACATAATGGCCATAACCCAGTTGATGCCTTAAACATGTGATACTAGGTAGAGGTAAGTGATCTTAAACATCATTACATTAATTTTATCTTTTAATGTTAATCTTATGTTCTGTTTTCAACGTCTGTTAAGAGGTTTTGTAACCTAGAAATTGTTTACTTTGCATTTGCTTTTACGACATCTTGGCAGTTATGATATTTCTATTTAAGGTATTCACAAATTTACAACGTTGAACATGCCATAGAATGAGTCCGACTTTATCAAGACCACATATTAACAAATTATTTCTTCATCTCTGAAAATGGTTGCATTTGATTTGAACGTGAAGGGGAAACATTTGGCCCGCATATTTCTTATCATTGTACTACTTCCTGCAAAAGGTTTGTTCACCAATACTATATTTCAAAACTTTATTTCAGGATGCTAATCAAAAAAAAATGTCAACATTATCCCATTATAAAGAGTGACAAATATTTCATTTCAATTTATGCTACGGGTGTAAGTTTTTACTAAAATCAATGCAATAAGTTTAAGTTTCAAAAACGAACGTATATCAAAATTATTTTTTCTTTTTACTTTTTTTAGTGTTTTGCAGTTGCGATTTGTCTACCAACCTTATGCATATCAACGAAACAGCCGAAAGTAAATGATTTATTGATGTTTGCTCTTACAGGAAGTTTGTTATAGTATGACTATAAGTAAAATTCGTTAAACGCAGGTATCATTGCAATAAATCAGGTGTGGACTTGAAATAAAAAAATTTTTTTTTATTCAAAATAATATTGCCAAAAAAAAAAGTAAAATCATAAAGCTTTTATATTCATGTACCAAAAGAAAAAAATAAAAGTTCTTGTATACATGAAATGTTGTTAAGTTGTTCGTTCAAAATTCCAGATGTTTATTTTAAAACTTTATTAATTAACATAAAAAAGTAATAAATGACAATGATTGCAAAACAGTCAAACAAACACAGCATTAAAATTTAGGAATCTTAAAAATTATCAAAAATTAATTACAAGTAATTTGATTCGAAGTATTTATTGCACAAAATTACAATGGCAATCCTTGCTTTGATCTTCTAATACCGGAGTATAACATTTGCAATGCATTAGGGTGCTGATCTGTTCATTGGTGATTCTGACATGGGCAATCTATTTGTTAAACTCTCGATATATAAAACAATGAATTTGTTTAATATGGCTTATGATAAACAATGAATTTGTTTGTTAAAAATGGCTTAATCTCCTATGCCATTATCTGTTTTATATCTATTATTCATTGTTCTATTACTGAGATGTGGACTACAATGGGTGTTATCTTTACACCTGTATTGACATAACGGTCTGTCGTGCAAGTTTGTAGGACACCCAGTGCTTACACCGTTGCTAGGGATTATGCCTAACGCACCATTTTACCTTATTTTATAAATTTTAATTTCAATTGCAAATTAAAACTGGCACAGTTCTCTGTACTTCTCTATCTTAATTATTTTAAGGATATGTATGAAATACACTAGGAAATTTAAAAAAAAATCATAAATTAATAGAATTTAATTGACATTAAATTATACGAAATATCCTTTTTATTTATTATAGGTGTAGTAATTAAGTATGCGAACTATTCACTTACCAACATCACATGGAGTATGAAGTTGTCCGCTGCTGGTGTCAATCAAGTGGATGCTACTCAGTTGAATGACTATATTACGCTGAATTACACCAACACTGACTTGGAGCTCACGGTCGTCAAAGCACTGGACAAGGAGGACCTCTTCGAAAAATTTAAAGTAACAGGAAGGCATTTGAAGTCATTTATATTCGTTAACTGTATATTAAAAAAAAAAATAACTATAATAGAAATGATTCCTTGAAGTTAGCAAATGACTCGTATAAATTATTATAAAGATCCTTAAACAATTTCTAATTAATAATAGATATGGATATACATATGTATCTTGCAAATCATTTTTAGAAATCAGTCTTCCTTTTTTTCTTTTTAAGCAATATACCGCTTCTTTAATGCTGGCTATTTTAATTTAAACAAGAGGCCCATGGGCCACATCGCTCACCTGAGCACTGTGGCTAAGAAAAAGTAGAAATTGGTTTATTATTGAAAAGTTTAAATCCAAAAGTAGTCCCATGACCAATCATGGCTTTGGTATTCTTGAGAAGATGATTTTTAAAGAATTTCCTATATATTTCTATGTAAAGGATGCCATTGTGGTACCGCCCTACCCCCGGGGGTCATGATATGAACAAATTTAAATCTACACTACCTGAGGATGCTTCCATATAAATATGAACAATTATGGCTATGTTATTCTTGAGAAGAAGATTTTTAAAGAATTTTCCTGTATGTTTCAATGTAAAACCCTGGTCGGCTATTTTGACCCCACCCTACCCCCGTGGGTCATGATTTGAAGAAACTTGAATCTACAATGCTTGAAGATGCTTCCATATAGATATGAATTATGGCTTTGCTATTCTTGAAAAGAAGATTTTTAAAGAATTTTCCTATATATTTCTATGTAAAACTTTGGTCGGCCATCGTGGCCCTGCTCTACCTCAGGGGGTCATGATTTGAACAAACTTGAATCTACACTTCAAGAGGATGCTTCCATATAAATATGATTTGAACAATCTTGATCTACAGTACCTGAGGATGTTTCCCATTAAGTTTCATTTTTCCTGGCACAGTGGTTCTTGAGAAGAAGATTTTTAAAACATGCCACCAAATTTTTATTGATTCCCAATTATCTCCCCTTGAATGAGGGCGTGGCCCTTCATTTGAACAAACGTGAATCCCCTTTACCCAAGGATGCTTTGTAATAAGTTTGGTTGAAATTGGCCCAGTGGTTCTTAAGAAGAAGTCGAAAATGTGAAAAGTTTACAGACATTTACATACGGACGCCGGACAAAATGTGATCAGAAAAGCTCACTTGAGCCTTCGGCTCAGGTGAGCTAAAATCAAATTGATGAATGTATCAACATGTGTGTTTTTTTTTTCTGTTGATAAAACAATCAAAATTCTTTAGTTTAAACTTATGATGTATCTTTGTTTTCTCTTTCTTCTTTAGGTTGATATAAAAATTATCATTCTTCAAATGTCTTGTTCAACACCAGGGAATCAAGAAATACGAACAGTAAAAAAAACGTTGACTTGTTACAAAATATGATCTTTTGATTACTTTTTTGATAATTTGCGTCTTGAAGACAAGTCTGTGTTTTTATTTTAGAATTTGACCTTGGTTATCGAGGAGATTAATGAATTTCCTCCAGAGATTTACGGGGGTCCATACAACGTTACTGTGAAAGAGGTGAGTACTACAGGATCCATATGTACTAGGTGTGACAAATTTGCATACATCAACCATAGGTTTAGATACTAGTAAGCTTCATGAATTGTTGCAACTTGTTCTTCTTCAAAACGGTACGGGTAGCTGAGAATGTATTTTTTGTATACATGTACAATGAACAATATTTCGAGAAGAAAGAAACTCTTAATTAATCATAATGATAAAACAAGAGGCCCATGGGCCACATCGCTCACCTGAGCACTAAGGGTAGGAAAAAGTAGAAAATGGCTTTCTATTGTAAAGTTTAAATCCAAAAGTAGTCCCATGACAAATCATGGATTTGCTATTTTTATGATTTTTAAAGAATTTTCCTATATATATCTTTAAAAACTTTGGCCAGCCATTTTGACCCCGCCCTACCCCATGGGGTCATGATTTGAACAAATTTGAATCTACACTACTTGAGCATGCTTTCATAAAAATATGATGAATTATGGCTTTGTCATTCTTGAGAAGAAGATGTTTAAAGATATTTTCTCTTTCTATGTTAAACTTTGGTCAGCCATTTTGGCCCCGCCCTACCCCCGTGGGACATGATTTTAACAAACTTGAATCTACACTACCTGAGCATGCTCCCATATAAATATGATGAATTATGGCTTTGTCATTCTTGAGAAGAAGATTTTTAAAGAATTTTCTATATATTTCTATGTAAAACTTTGTGCCATTTTGGCCCTAGCTCCCTACATATATTTGAACAAACTTGAATCTACACTACCTGAACATGCTTCCATGTAAATATGATGAATTATGACTTTGTCATTCTTGAGAAGAAGATTTTTAAAGAATTTTCCTATATATTTCTATGTAAAACTTTGGTACGGCCATTTTGGCCCCGCCCTACCCCCGGGGGACATGATTTTAACAAACTTGAATTACACTACCTGAGCATGCTCCCATATAAATATGATGAATTATGGCTTTGTCATTCTTGAGAAGAAGATTTTTAAAGAATTTTCCTATATATTTAATGTAAAACTTTGGTCGGCCATTTTGGCCCCGCCCTACCCCTGGGGGTGATTTGAACAAATTTGAATCTACACTACTTGAGGATGTTTCCCCATAAGTTTCATCTTTCCTGGCACAGTGGTTCTTGAGAAGAAGATTTTTAAAATATGCCACCAAATTTTCATTAATTCCCAATTATCTCCCCTTGATTGAGAGCGTGGCCCTTCATTTGAACAAACTTGAATCCCCTTCACCCAAGGATACTTTGTACTAAGTTTGGTTAAAATTGCCCAAGAGGTTCTTGAGAAGAAGTCAAAAATGTGAAAAGCTTACAGACGGTCAGGTAGATGGACAAACGGCGGACAAAATGTGATCAGAAAAGCTCACTTTAGCCTTCGGCTCAGGTAAGCTAAAAATCTAAATTAACCATAAGCAGTTTCAACAATACGGAGTGAAAAATAAATACATGAAATATATAAACTAAATTTTATTTTTATGCCAGGATACACTCAGTGGAACAACAATTTTGAAGGTCAACACCACTGACCCGGATGTTCCTAAAACTTCTTTAATCTACCTTTTAAAAAGCACTGATAATTCTGTGAGTAACGATCTCCTTGTTATTGATAAAAAAAGAATAAGTTTTTTAGCTCACCTGAGCCGAAGGCTCAAGTGAGCTTTTCTGATCAAAATTTGTCCGTTGTCTGTCGTCGTTGTCGTTGTCGTTGTTGTTGTCGTTGTCGTTGTCGTCGTAAACTTTTCACATTTTCATCTTCTTTTAAAAATGGGCCAAAATAACCAAACTTGTATGTGTGGTAAAGGGGATTCAAGTTTTTCAAATGAAGGGCCATGGTCTTTTAAGGGGAGATAATCATGAATTTGTTAAAAATTAATGGCATTTTTTAAAAATCTTCTTCTCCAGAACCGCTGGGCCAGGAAAGATGAAACTCATGTGGAATCATCCTCAGGTAGTGTGGATTCAAGTTTGTTCAAATCATGACCCCCAGGCAAGGGTGGGGCCAAAAGACCCAAGTTTTACATAGGAATATATAGGAAAAATCTTTAAAAATCTTCTTTTATAACCACTGGGCCAAAAAATGAAACTCATGTGGAATCATCCTCAGGTAGTGTAGATTCAAGTTTGTTTAAATCATGACCCCCGGGGCAAGGGTGGGGCCAAAATGGCAGACCCAAGTTTTACATAGGAATATATAGGAAAAATATTTAAAAATCTTCATCACAAGAACCACTGGGCCCGGAAAGATGAAACTCATGTGGAATCAAGAGGTAGTGTAAATTCTAGTTTGTCAAATCATGACCCCCGGGGCAAGGGTGGGACAAATTTGCCAATTTTTACATAGGAATATATAGGGAAAATTTTTAAAAATCTTCTTCCAGAACCATGAAAGAAAAAAATCATGTGGAATCATCCTCACGTAGTGCAAATTCAAGTTTGTTCAAATCATGACCCCCGGGGCAAGGGTGGGGCCAAAATGGCCGACCCAAGTTTAACATAGCAATATATAGGAAAAATCTTTAAAAATCTTCTTCTCCAGAACCACTGGGCCAGGAAAGATGAAACTCATGAGGAATCATCCTCAGGTAGTGTAGATTCAAGTTTGTTCAAATCATGACCCCTGGGGCAAGGGTGGGGCCAAAAACCCAAGTTTTACATGGGAATATATAGGAAAAATCCTTAAAAATCTTCTTCTCCAGAACCACTGGGCCATGAATGATGATACTCTTGTGGATTCATCCTCAGGTATTGTAGATTCAAGTTTGTTCAAATCATGACCCCTGGGGCTAGGGTGGGGCCAAAAACAAGTTTTTCTTAGGGATATATAGGGAAACCTTTTCAAATCTTCTTTACAAGTAATTTAAAGCTATGATTAGTGATATTTATATGGAATCATTCTCAGGTAGTGTAGATTCTAGTTTGTTAAAATGATGAACACCTGGAGGGGGGTGGGAGTAAATTTAAGTCTGATGTGCTCAGGTGAGCGCTGTGGCCCCTGGGCCTCTTGTAAAAATTTTTATTATTAACTTAACACATGTTGTACAGACTTTAGGTTCTAAATACCTTGGATTTCCTCAACCTAGTTTACCAGACTTGAAGCTTCTAGAAATGGTCGACTATGACAAACTTGTGGCTGATGGCATAATGCCCAAATTTCAGTTTCTTTTAAATGTCACGGTAAGAAACGGAAACATTTTGTATCGAATGAAATTTTTAAGAAACTTACCGTTTTTCCTTCTTTGCATATTACAACAGCTTATTTGAAAAGCAATTAATGATTCAAGAGTTGTCAATTTCTCATTATATATTTTAATCCTTGATATTTACACTAAATTAATTTTATTTATTCTTTTTGACAAGGTCTTTATGCGTCGTTTTGACGTACATATTGAAAAAAAAGTTAATTAATAAAATTCATTTTCTTTCTTATCTATTTAGGACAACAATGGTTATGGTCTAAGCAACCAGACAGACATTACCGTTATCATTGAGGATGTAGACGATCTACCACCCGTATTTCTGTATCCTACCTGTGGAAAGCAATGTGCTACGACTCAGTTCCGAATAAACATAACGGACAAAACCTATAGAGTATGTTATTCTACAATCAAATGAAAGAGAGATATGAAATGTAAAATGTGAAGAAAACGAACAGTGATCGAAAAAAAAAATAATTTAAAAGATCTATCACGGACCTCCGCAAATTCTAGAGATGGGAACAGGTGACTAAGGAGAAGGAAGCATCCCCTGTTGACCGGTCATATCCTATGTATTGATCAAGAAGACGGTATATTCTGTTGTCAAATTCAGTAAAGAAACAAGGGCCTAACAATTCGTATGAAATAAGTCAGCAGAAAACGTATCCATGAAAGGTATATTTGCTAACAAGGTCATTATTACGACAATAGAATTTATGAAATCCGACTTTAAACGAGTTGCTGAAATCCCTGTAACATCCACTAATCGGTGAGTAGTATGCCTCGCTAAACAAAATCAATTTCTAGAACGAGGTAGGCTACTGACAAATAAGTTGTTGATACAAGGATATCAAATATCTTGTTCAAAATCAAAATGTGGCAAATTCTATGGTCGATTAAATGGCCTTGTTATCATAAAGAAAATTGTTGACATGACTTTCATACAAATTGTCAGACTATTATTTTTACAATGGAATGTGCAAGAAATTTGTACTGATTATTTGGATTTTTGAGCATCTGTACATTTCATTATTTTTTAATTGATATGATGTACTAACATGAACAATACACTTCTGAGTTTATAAAAACACATGTATTTTGTAAAAATAAAATATACTCTGCATCGAATTGTTAATTATTTTCATATATATTTTATACTGAAGGTCTACATGTATTTTAATTCTGAAGGTCTACATGTATTTTAAATCTTTTGAATTTAACTTTTCATAACCTTACTATGTTTTTGCCCTTTACCAGGGACCATTGACAGTTCTACCTATTGCCTTAAAAGCAGTTGACCAGGATACGTTGAATTACAGCATCACTTATTCTATACTGGAAGGTACAAAAGTTTAGATATTAAATCCTTTTTTATTTTCTTTCTAAGAGTCTTTCGATAATACAAATACAGTTTTATATATTTTTTAAATTGATATTTTAAAATTGTGCGCTTTAAAAAAAACAGACCAGGAGAACTTCCACGCATCGTTTGAAATAGATAATGCAACTGGTTTAATTTCACAAGTAGGAGATGTTAGTCACTCTGGAATCATTTCAGTGAAGGTAAAACACACACATGAAGTTTAAGTTATACCATATGCGTATAAAATGACTTTTTTCATGTTGTTTTAAAACAGGGCAAGTTTTGGAAAATGTTTATTGATTTGATTTTTTTTTTCATAATAAATATACTTTTAGATCTTTCAATCCATGTCATACATTTGCTACATTTAATTTATTGACTTTTCATTTCTGAACTAAAATCCTCTTATTATTAAAATATATGAAGTTTTGTTTCAAAAACTGTTGTTATGTCACGTACTTGTGTTATTAGGCAGAGGAAATTTCCATCAATAAACACTCAGCAACAGCAGTAGTATTGGTAGAGGTTCCAAACACTTTTGTTAACTCACCAGAACAGAGCACAGCCCAAGATAATAGTGGCGGGCTCCTGATTGGTATTATAGTTTTGGCCATTGCAGCGTCCGCATTGATATCTGTAGTGGCAGTCCTGATAATTCTACACCGAAAGTTAAAGAAACAAGTGGTGCCTTTTGATGGTAATGACATGGTAGCAAAACCCTTGGAACAGACTGTTTCGAAAACAACAGAAGTAAACGAAGTGAAACCAATTCCAAGGAATAATGATATTCAGGAGGATATTGACATCGAGAAGAAAGAAAAGGATACCGAAGAGGACACAAATGTTACAGACCATATATCGAATAGTGATGCTATAAACAATATACCTACACCATCTCAAAGAAACAATTTACTTGATCCTATAGACCCAAGAGAATCTCAAAAGAAAAGGAAGAAGAAAAAGAAAAAGAAAGATTATCTGAAAAAGATGGGAGAAGAAAGACAACAAAATCAGTTAGAAAATACCGAGGATCAGATGGAGGGAGAAGAAGAAACCACACAACTAAGTGTCACAGGAGAAAACCGTCATCAAATAGAAGCTTTAGATGGGCATTTTGTTCAGGAAACTGATGAAATTATGGTTTGAATAACTTGAAGGTCCCCCATTTGTATTGCCTGTGATATTTTGTAATACTCGCCAAAGCGGGAAAAGGTATAGAATTTTGGTGCCATTGTAAAAAGAGAACTAAAGCTCTTGACATTAAACTGATCAGATATATAGCAATTGTTGCAATACTGTAGGATACAAAGTATCTTCTTACATAAATGGAACAGTGTACTGAGTATAAGGGAAAAACATAATTTTGGTAGATCTTGTTTTAGTAATGAAATGTAGTGTACATTTTTTATAAAGTACTGTGTATAAGGGTAAAAAACAAATCTCTTCCTCCAAGGCTGTATTGGGAGAAGAGGCATTTCACTTACATGTATTTATTTGTGTGTTATTAAATGACATGAATAGGGAAAAAAATCATTATTTTGGTAGATCTTGTTTTAGTAACGAAATACTGAATCATGAGTAAAAAGTCTGTAAAACAGTTTGTCATGTGTTTCCACCTTTATGACATTTAATAATTTGATTAAAATTCTCAAAAGTATTATTAACAATGACATATAATTTAAAGCAGGCACAAAATATAAAGATGAGAAATAATCAAACTTTGTTAATGGAGATAAACCAAATTTTTAGTAATTACAACTTACATTAGGTAGGTATATACACTTTTCCATTAATGTTCTAAATTAAAAAGAAAACAACAAAAAACAAAGAAATGCTTTAAATTTTCAGGTGTAAAGGATTGTTTTTAAGTACTGTCTTGTCTGTATGTCAAATTAACATGCATATCCTTGTAAATTATTTAAAATCATATTAATATATAAAAAACATCAAACAATAGATTTTTTCTTTAAAGTACCAATGGATAAATAACATTTCATTCTCTAATTTTCTTATTACAGGTATTCTCAAAGTTAAAAATTGTCCATTTTTCAAGGAAAAAATTACAAATTCATACTTTTTAAAATACGTCTTTCATCTGAAAATGATTGTAATAAAATACGTGTTGCAGCCATGAACAGTAATTGCAGTGAAGTGTAATCAAGAATCTTTAATCTCTAGAAACATTTTATCATTGTTATGGCTACATGTATATTGCAAAAACATTGATGAAAGATGGTAATCAAACTTTAATATTGTACTTTGATGTCTCTTTATTTGTTTAAAAAGAAAATTTAGAAATAAAAATAAGTAAATAAAACTAAAGATAAGATACCTCCGAAAGTTATTGCTCGATTAAATCTAACGACGGAAAACATCATTTGGCAATGTGTAAATAAATTAATCAAAGTCGTCATGCATTAACCTTCTCTAGGCGTTCTCGACGATCTGTCGAAATGTAAATCAATCGTAAAAGCTTTAATAGATTGATTAAATCAATTACATAAATGACGTCGTTACGTATTGTACTTGAAACTCTGCAGACTTTTATGATCAAAACAGAGGTGAGAAAATGATCAGCTTAGTGAAGTTTCTCGTTATAATATTGTCATGTATAGGATTTGTGCAAGCAGTTGTATTCAAATTGGAGGCTGAAAGGTACGCAGCACACAGATTCCATAATCATCGAGAAAAGGCCAGTGGCGCAAAAGCAGTAAATTTTAATAAAGGTCAAAGTTTGAATTTCTATTTCTGCCTAAGAGACGCTGCAGAAGTTTCCTTAAGCCAAGTAGTGTATTCAAACGATGGAGGGAGTGATACATTTGAAATACGACTTGATGGAAAGATTGTTCTGGGAAACCTAAAAACACCTGAGCAGTCAAACGAAGGTGAATATTGGAACGAATTCCTATTCAGTGGACAAGTTGGTCCGAATATGACGCTCGAGTCAGGGAGACATACAATTACCCTCGACTTCAAAGAAACTGACAGGTTTGGGGTAGATATTGATTTTATTGAAATCAGAGTTGACGATAATAAACTTCGCAAAGACCTTTTTGAATGTTTAATTTACTGTATTCCTGAAATTGGATATAAAAATGGCCCTGCGCGTGACGACATGCCCTCAGCTGTCGCACGGCGAATAACAGTGCCTAAAACTTGTCCAGCAGATGATAATTTAGTCCTAATACCCGTTTTCCACGAAGAAATCAAACATTTCTTAATTACTGCAACACTTCCAAAATACAGATCTTTTGAAAATCATTACGATAGGAAAGACGTTGTCTGCGATGACGATAAGGCTGGTATTTTATGGAACTTTCCAAACCTGAAAATTCCAATGGAGACATTTACAGACGGCTTATCCGGATTTACAACGGTTAAGTATCGTGCTTCAAACATGAGCAAAAACTCTATTATTTCTGTAACTTTTCAACCATTTGCAAAGGATGACTTTGAAAAGGGTAGCAATTTGAAAATAACATTCCACGAACCTAAAGCGAACATCTACGTGGAAATGAAGTATAAAACACTTGATGGATCTTGGTCAGATCCCGAGGGACAATATATAACTCCACAAAACATGGATTTCTTGGTGACCATTCCTAGACAGACATGGTCAGATAAAACACAGAATGAGGTCGAGATTACACTTCTAGCAGATCCAGAAACTCTGACAGGTCTGAATCTCGATCTGAAGTTGACAAAGCTAAGGGAGGAACGACGAAGGGAGTACGTGCTTTACAACAACCTGGATGTCCGTGTAGTGGCTGTCGATGTTTATGTCGGGGACAAGACAGACCTCGAAAAGATGACCGTTAGAAGTAGTGACATGATGGCAAACATCTCTACCGTTTCCTTCATCAGCATCTACGCGAACACACAGTGGTCCAATTCTCAAAACGAGGTTCTACGCCTTCATCAAAACGGACAATTACAACTGCTTCCGATGCCACCCCATGGGTTCCAAGGGAAAATGCCATTTGGAACTTCCATTTTTATCGGTGCCCATGATACCACAATTATACCTCCCAATGTTCCAATAGAAGAAGTTACCGTTGTTCCAGAACCTCTCGAGATGTACGTATCATACAAAGACGGCTCAAAGGCCACTCTTCTGGTAAAACCAGACCTAGATCAAACAAATGTACTTGTAAAGGATTTCCAGATGACAAGAGACCCGTTCAAATACCCATTTGCTACCATCAGTTCTAATTGGCAGTATGATGGGAACTCGGACATTGACCATGTGAGTACCAATGGTAATGTGGAGCGCCATGTCATGAACGGATGGAAAGAGCTGTATGGAACTGATTTCGCTTTCTTTAGAAAATGTATTTCAAAACATAATACACTGAGTCCCGATATCAAGCTACAGTTGATTAATGATGAAGATCTATACCTGCACGTTTAAAAGAAAATCCAAGCTGCAAGTCAAATAGAAAAATGTTTATCACAATGCTATATATCACTTTTACTTTTTAGAGACACGATATGTAAAAAGATTTTATAGACATTCAGTGAACAAATTACACTTTCCTATTTACTACCATTTTGCCTGTTATATATATGACTTTTTTTTTAAAATAATAAACATTTTTTAAATATTCAAATATGGTGCATAGGGTTTTAGCCCAGTAAAATTTCCTGATGCAGATGCATCTTTATTTGAGTTTCTTCAAAATTTGAAGCCCTTCAAGAGTATATGGTGACGTCTCTACATAAGTGAAAAGTTCTTGAATGGGACGTAAAACAACAAAGAATCAATCAATCAATCAATCAATCAATATACATTGTCATCAAACTTTAAGACTCAATCTATAAGTTAGTGTGTAAAAATGTTTCAAACTCGAAGACAATTTTGAGTATTTAGAATCCCATCTTTCCTCAAACTTTACAAACACCGAATGCTGGAAAATGTTTGATCAGAAAAGCTGATTTGCACTAAAAATATACAAACATAAATTGACCTGCACTCATTTTATTGTTTGATCTTTTATCACATAGTAATAATTGACTGATACTTAAAACTTTTGAAAGCATCAGACCTGATGTACAAAAATATACAGCTGCTGCTTAACACACAGTCACTCAACAAGACATAGAACATGTAACAATGCTATCAAAACTATCATGCTGACACATAAAATGTATTAAAAAACGGCATTTTTATTGAAAAAAGAAGTCATCCATTATTTATTCATAACCTACGTTTCACAATCTGCAATCTTAAAATGTTCATTTTAAGGGCAGATGATACAAACAATTTTTTTGTTTGGAGGAGACTAAGTATCATGTAACAAGTTAAGAAAAGTGGATAAGTCTTGGAATTTTTTCTCCTAAGAACTGGAAAATGAAATAGACTTGTAAAATATTACTAATATTTCAATTAAAAAAAACACTTGTATCAATGTATATTTTCTAAATATGTAATATTTAAAAAAATATACCAAGCCAGGTATTTTATGAGGAAAAACAAAATGGTATAAATCACCCTATATCATATGCAAATAATGTATATTTTTCTACAGTTTATATTACACTTTTACATCTGAAATTTATTTTCATGTAAACCTTATTTACTGAGTGTGTTTTATTCATTTTTATAATTTCATTGAAATATTACTGATATTTTCCAAGTCTATTTCATTTTCCAATTCTTAGGAGAAAAAATTCTAAGAATTATCCACTTTTCTAAACTTGTCACATGATATTAAGTCTCCTCCAAAGATAAAATTTGTTTGTATCATCTGTCCTTAATTTAAACTATATGTATATATTTTTTTAAATATTTCGATTGCAAATAATGTACATCAAATGAGACCCATTGTAAGGCTGTGCCGATATCATTTATCTTCAAAATATTTTTTTTTCAATCTAATAAAAATACTTACTTGTAAAATACACTTCACACTTAACATTTCAGTACTTAGTATTTCATTAACTATTTACATGGATGTTGACTGTAATTTTGTTCTTATTGCTAACGAGATCAAACTTCTGACATGCAAGCATTTTTAAATGCTTTTATCTTTGTTAAATCTCATACACTGACATATACTCTAATAGTCTATTTCAATAATTGTAAAATTCATTCAAGAAACATTAAGATATTATTAGAAAAAAACTATCCTTTGGAAATTACAGATATTATTTCTTGATTTTATTGGTAACTTACAGTATCTTCTCAAGTGTGTTCTGGTAGCGGTATTAAACAATTTGTGTGATTAGGTTTGAAGAATTGACAATTTAGAACTAAATATTATGTACATGTCCGTTATAAACAACAAATCACCTACAAGTACCCTGTAACATTGCTCATAATTAAAGGCATTTATGAACATTTGTAAATGTAAAAGAAAAGAATCAAGGTCTTTTCAAAAGGTGGGTGTCAGTGGCTTATTACCATTCAAAATTTTAGAAATGCTTTTTGCATGCAAGTTTAAATCTGAAAAACTCAAAATTTCTTAAGTTTAACCTATACTACAATTTCTACATTCGTTAGCATATAACACCAGTTTGAAAAATATCTTACCAAAAGTAGAAACTCAGCATATTTAATGGGGAAAAGATTTTTTTTCCATTCTGCTTCAAAAGATAAAATTTAAAAATTGTGTATATTAAACTTGATTTTTCTAGATATATTGAATTATATTAAAGTGGAATGTAACTTGTTAAGTACTTTTTTCGTCATTGTTACAATTTTTTACATTAGTACCGTGGATAGTTTTAGCACCATTTGATTTAATGAATGCTTGTAGAAAATAAGATAAGTGTTAAGAATTACTATTTCTGACACACTACAAAAATAACAGGACAAAGGGCATTAACACTGCATCAAGCACAACAGTCATTTCTTCCCTTTACAATCAATTTGGTATTCATTATAAAGAATTTGAACTTTCAACATACATGTCCTGAGGCATTTAATACTAAAATTAAAAAAAAAATTTAGTATCATAAAAGAAAAAAGTTTTTCCACTAAATTAGTGTTGTAATAAAACTTATCTTAAAGTTTTATGATCCCTCATTATAGTTTTCGAGAGTAAATATCATGTTTGAACCCCTAACCTTTCTAAACATTGGAAATGGTAGAAAAATGACAAAAATTCTAAAAAAGATAAATTGATATATAAATTTTCAAATCTGTAAATACTTAATAATGCATAAACTATAACATTTAACAAGAGTTTATAAAATCTAACAAATCAACAATGGTTGCCATTTATTTTTCCAATCATTCAAAAAAGAAAACAAAACAACATCGCCAAGAGAAAAAGAACCATTAATTTCTTAGCGTTAACTTTGATACTTAAACAAAAAAAAAGTCTGAGCCCATAATTAAAAAAAAAGAAAGAAATAAGACACAGTAAACAATATGAAACATGTTACCAGCGGAAATTAAATATTTCTGGACAATGTACATTAAAAGCTGATCAGCATATTGTCAATTGTAGAGTAATTTATACTTGAAACTGTGAATATTCTAGAATGTTTTATTTTCCAATGCTTTAGCATGTCCATGTCTTTGAAATAGAAATCAGATTACTAAGCTCACCTCAATGATGTTATCTTACAGTAAGGCTTTCCATGCTTAACGTATATCCCTAAATGTACCATACTTGCAAGTTTAGTCCAGGTAGGGCTTGAAATTACTTGGGAATGAACTTGCCAGAAAATACTATGGAAATGTTATCCATGTTATTCATCCACAAAATACAGGTCAGAATTAGTGTCCAAAAACAATTCTGTTTTTCTTCATGCTACATAGATCACATCTAACATTCAAAATTTCAAAGCATAGGGCTTTAGTTAGTTTTATAAGAACTTGCTTCAAAATTTTTACCTGAATAATCATATTCAAAATGCAAATCAGATTCAGAGTCTTAAGAAATTATGATAGAGTATCCTAATAGATAGTGAATATGATAGTGAATCCTAAGGTGCATCATCCCTGCAAGATGGGTGAATATAAGCCTTATACATATAGTTACTTGGAAATGAGCCCTGCTCCAAAATCTGAACCTGCTTCAAAAAAACATTAATCTTGTCATTCTTGTTGCTGAAAATGCAGCATTTGAAATCTTACTGGGACAATGTAACAATTTGAGCATAAGCATGAACTTCTGCTCAATATATGTCATAGAGGTACTTGGAGATATTTGCATAAATCCTTTAAACAGAGATTCTGATACCTGGGAGCTCCCAGCTTCACCGAGGTGAGCTAAAGAATGTTAATATCAATTGCTTTTCTTTTATCTTGTTTCAAAGAGATTTCAAGGAATTAATAGTTGGTCAAAGATAAGGTACTTAAAATTATTCTTTACTTGCCATACAATATTGGAAACATTTGCCAAAATAAAGTTTAATTTTCCTTATTGCTCATCATTTCTTTCTTAAGAGGACAGACTCAGTGATCAACTGATCATTTAAAATACAGTCTTTATAAAAACAAAACAGTGCTGAAGTCATTTACATAATTAAGTATAAAGTGATGCCCAAAACACAGAAAACACAAACACAAAAAATGTGATTATCTACACAAATGATAAATATGAGAGGAATGGTTACAATTCTCTTTTACTCTAGATTTAGAATATCTCATTTACACTCGGATTCATTATTCTTTTACCCATTTTGGCTTTTGGTACTGGCTTATTGTAAGTAATCAAAAACTTAAAATATTTGACATTGACGTTTTTAACTTGGGTCTTTAATTTCTTATCAATATTCATTTCAAAAGTTCTCTCTACATTTAATATGAAATTCAACATATTTTTAGCCATGCAGTTTTTTTTTAACCTCTTTAATACTATCTATTTTTATCTCTCTTTTTTAAAGCATAACAAATGGTAAGACAAAGAAATCTTGTCAACATCATAATATGCCTTTTTTCACTCTTAACAAATCATTAATTTCTAAATTTTAGTCCTAGCAGCCATATTTTTATTAACAAACTCAAATTTATAGTTGTTGCAGAAAAATTTAGAAATTAAACAAAGAATATCTTGAAAATTATAAGTGGATATCATTTTAAAAAAACTAGAAAATAACTAATACCAAAAGGCCTATTTTCATAAAAGAAGGTATACACCAACCAATCATATTTTTTGTTATAACTTATCATAATTATGCTATACTCTGTTAAAGTCAGAGCTTTAAAAAATAACAAAATTTAGAGAAGTATATGTTAACAGATTGACATTCAAATCTATACCATAAAAAATAAATTTCTTGCTGACAAAAATGACATATATTTAATTCAAGTAAATAAATATACTCCCCATCAATGAAAACGCAACACTCTACTTTTAGGGTGAAAAATTATAAACGGGATATAACTATGTACCAAACAAGTTAGGACATCTTTTACTTTGCCAAATCAGTTATTTAATGGTTGAATGGTTTTCATTCCATTACCGAAAGTTGATTTTTTAGCCCTCTGAACAGATAACATTTAAATAAAACACCTCCCCCTTCTTACAATTTAATCAAAACATGCTAGTCCGCCATGTACAGCATAAATGTACGCAGTCCGATTTCTACCATGCATTAGGTTTATCAATGCCTTTATCTGAGCGAAATTAACATTCTTTGGCATTTTTAATTGCCTGTTGTTCAGATACTGCGGTCGAATTTTCTCTAACTTGGCGTAGTGTAGTAACTCTTGGACTTCCGGTCAAGAAACTGTTATTTATGCTACTGAAACACATGAGCCTGATGAGTGGTTAAATAGTGCAAATTTGCATCTGCAGCTCTTTTTTTTCTTTATTTTGAGAATCTCCAGCTTAAGCAATGAAAATCAGTCATTTTGAGGAAATATAGGAATCACATCCGGTAAAGAAAGAAAGATTTTTTTCCCGGCATTTTAGTACATTACTTATGATAAACAGCTACAAAACTTCGAAAACTCAAAATATTGTTAAAAATTTTATTAAAAATGCAAAAATTTGAATTCTGTGAAAAGGGTTAAAAAGCAACTTCCGGTAGAGGAAAGATATTCATTCAACCGTTAAATAACTGATTTGGCAAAGTAAAAGATGTCCTAACTTTTTTAGTACATAGTTATAACCCGTATATACTTTTCACCCTAAAATTAGAGTGTTGCGTTTTCATTGACGGTGAGTATATATCTCAGACAGAAATCTACTTCATTACATATGAATATTCTTTTTTGAAATATAAACACATGACAAGGAATTTGATACCATGATTACCAGTGTGGAGATGGGCATGAGAAGGGTCAGTTCATATTAAATTATTCAAAACACTTGTACATCTCAATTTTTCTCTCTTTCACATAAGTTGATTACCACTAAACATTCCTCCATTTGCACTATTCACACTCGCATACTTTAGAAGAATTACACCACACTAAATTTGACAGCTGTCAATCAAACTGCCGTGGTCTCTAGTCCCTCCCACTCATCGTCAGTATCTGTGTCGGACAAGTCCTCCTCCACAATTTCATTATCACTATGTTCATTACATATTGTGTCCATACTCGCCACACTCCCTCCTGGTTTTTGGTAACTACCCCCTTTAATACTGTGGGGGAACTTTGGTCGGTCTGGACTAAACACTTGTTTTTGGCTTAACACTACTTGAGCATTGTGGTCATTCAAAGCAGGCATCGAAGATGCTGTGGACATGTATAAAGGGTCCTTAGAAGGACTGGACATGTTGGTCAGTTTCTCATTAGCTATTGACTGACTTCGTGGGAGTTGGGGGACCTGTAAGGTATTTGGAATGGAGTGGCATCCACCATCAGTAACGGACATATTGGATGTTACATCATTATCTGGCATTGTGAAATGTAATCGCACCTGTAAATTGTATTGTGTGGTGTATAGAACTGACATCAAATTATTTTAGTCTAATCTACGGCAATTAGTTAGCAAAGAAAATAGTTGAACAATTAATACAGTTTCAAATGATATTAAAGCATACAATAATAGTATTGGCTGATATTACTTTTATCCTGATAGATCATAGCTATCATTTTAACAAAATTCAGCCTTTTAACATGTTCAAAATTTGAATGAAACATTTCAAGTCAAAATAAAGTATCAGCTTTTCACTAAATATTTCATCAAATTTTTCATGTACCTTAAAATTGGGACTGAAGAACTTGTGTGATTTGTCTTTATTGGCCTTGTCTAGCTCAATCTTGCTGAGGGTCAAGGTCAGATACTTGGACGCCCTTGGGTCTTCCATGGTGGGGCTTTTCCCGTTTGAGTACTGGGATGGGGGGTTGTAGTCATCTTTCCCCACAAAAAAAGTGTTGAACCAGAACTGAAACATCTTTTCCTGGACAAAGAGAGGTAAGCAGTAATCAAATAAAAATAAAGCCAAACTTCTTCTTAGTCAAATATGGCAAAATTCTAACACTTGTTTCATTTGCATTTGCTGTGCAGCAATTTCACTTACAAAAATGAATAGTTTTATTAATTGCTTTTAACAAAACATGTTTCAGATCACAACTTATTGATTCTTTTGTAAATCTATTCAGAATTGTCTTACTTTTTTCTTTGTAAGTCTGGGTTTGTTATAAAATACGACTTTAATATCTCCACAAAGAGGAACGGACTGGTCTGTTGGCATTGAGAACTTGTCCTGTCCTTTCCTAATATCTTCATATGTCTTGGAGGTATATACTTTCACTTTCAGTTGAAATACTTCAAAAAACGGGCCTGTTAAATATAAAAAATAAGTTTGTTACAGCATTTTTGACATAATTACATGTTATCAAACCAAGATTTAACTAATTAACAAACAAACAAAAGAAGGATAAAATCAGGATATGTTTGTGAAAAACTCCCCCAAAGACAGTTCATTGCAAAAGTTAGTTTTTCAAAAATTTGTCAAACTCCAAGGTAAAGGTCATGAGGTCAAAAATGTTCATATCGAAAAGTCTTATCAAAAAGAAAATGAGAAATTTGAAAGCACAAGCACAAACTGTTTAGAAGCTATAGCTAAGTGTTTTGCAAGAGGATCAAACTACAAGGTCAAAGTCAGAAGCAAAATGAAAGATTTTTGTCAGAAGTAGTATGCATGAAATATGAAAGCTTAGAACATGGTCAAATTCCAAGGTCAAGGTCATTATATAAAAAATATAGGTCTTTTTACAAGTGATTATATACATATGTATTTGTGAAAGCCACAGCACCAACCATTCAGAAGTAAAGACAAAGGTTAGAGTTTTGCAGACATACAATAACAAGACAGAACCAAGACTAAACGCCCTTAATATCTGATAAGAGGGGCATAATAATAAAAAAGAAAAAAACCTCTTTCTTGCCTACTCATTCATATTCTTTTTGCAAATTCTTATGAAATATAATCCTAGGAAACATTGAATGTATGCACATTTATATATAAATAGGTCAAATTAGTAATACATATGTCCTCATTTAGTGGCATCTTCTACTTTGGTCTGGGTTTAATACTTCCACCATAATAGAGCATAGCTTTATTTCTATTTTCCTGTATTTGTTTAATTCGAGACACCTTAAACCCAAACAATACTGATGAGCTGGCAAAACAGACTTTACTTCCTTATTACACAGGCAAGCTCTTAAACTATGAATTCCTCCATACACAGGGAAAGCATGGTTCTAAACTTATACAGGGTGATATCTCAATGTTGCTCAATGAACATTAAATTGATTGCATTCAATTACAAATGAACAATACATACATATGTCAAAAAATATCAAGAGTTTTAAAGATTTTAAACAGTGAAACAATGGTGTACTGAGAAGAGCATTTATTGTTTTCACATTTGATACCACAAAAGCCCCATTTAACACATTAAAAAACAAAAAAATACTACAGCATGACTACAATTTTTTTTGGAAACAGTTGCTTATGTGCAAGAGTGGGTGACTGGCAGTTTTCCTGTTTTCAATTACATGTGTTGACAATATACAAAAAAACTTCCAACATCTTCACGCTTCATGGTGTCCAAAAGAATAGAGTACAACAGAACTTTCCAAGTAGAATAAGCTATACTGAGGAAAGATCTCTCAATATTTACTAGTTAATGTTGGTTTAAAATATATTTTATTCATTGAATTGGATTGAACAGCAGGCATAAATGCCTATGATAATTCTCTCCATAACTAGTTAATGTTTATTAACTATCAGTTACCATCTGTAAGACCAAATGTACTCCTTACAGGGCTGATTTAAAAGGTACTGGGAAACAATTACCTGAACATCGGTATAAATATACTTACAACATGTCCCTCCATTATGCATAGGTATAGTAAAGAAATCAATGGCTCTGAGTAAAAGTGTCACAGGCTTGTACTGTAGATTGTGTCGAATCATGTACCCATAGTACTCCACATACCGGACCTGGCTAGGTATGGTCACACCCTGTAACAGATTAAATCGCTCTCTCAGTAATACACCTATGCTCACGATTAAGTATTAAACACAGCTAGTAGTATAACACCACCCCCAACCCCAGTAACATTTATTATATTTTTGTCTATATTCACCTTTTATGTATGCCAAAATATAAATTGTAAAGTGGACATTTAAAATTAGTCACTGAACGCAGACACATAGTGCTTGCAGATGCTGAGGCATTGTAGAGGTCAATATTGATAATTTCTGGTGAATGAAAAGATGTCAACATCAAACTACAACTGCCTATAAAGAAGGCCACAACTGTATAGCAAGTATTTTTACAAGGCCCATAGGTAATAATGTTCACCTACATGTTAGTCACTTCACACTCTCTCGCTGACAATGAGGCCTTCTTTTTCATCCAGTATCAAGTAAGGAATCAATGTCTTGAATAATGTGGATCTGCACATAGGGATACTTATTTATTTATGTAATATGATCAAGTATATTTTATTTAGCTTTAATCTAATATATGTTTTCAAAATTCTCTTAATGTAAGGATAAATAATATAAAACTTTGACCCCTACTGTGTCCATATTCTAGTTCTGTAGGTCGTAATCTGAACTATATTGAACCAATATTGACATGAACATTTTGTAACAATGCTTTATCATGTCTTTTCTTCCTGTCCCAGTGATTTTAAAGACCTTTGTACATGTAATAATACCACCCTGTTTCCATCATTTTTCAACTATCTCCCCATGAACATGTGATAAATGTATACATGAATTTCCTTTACACAGGGATGCTTTTTGGCAAGGTTGTTAAAAAATGTCCTGTCATTCCGTAGGAAAAATTATTCAGAATAGGCTACAAAATGTTGGATCTCGATCAGTTGTTCAATAATGTCAATTATAAATTTCTCCTATATTCAATGTGCAAGATTAATTAATGCTACAAAATTTAGAATTTCATAGCTTTGTTAACTGAGTTAACTAGACATAATTCACGAGTTTATCTTATTCTGGTTAAAAAAATGATGTACATTTTCTTTTACCGGGGTAATATTAATCTTGTTTTAGCATTTTTAGTTACCTAGTATGAAGATTCTGATACAAAAGAAAGTAGTACAAGTGAAATACAATGTACATAAGTACAGGTCATTCCATTGGAACACTTGTAAACAGTAGCACTCCATTTTACTTAATATGTTAATGATATAACAAGGAAGTGATACAGCCCTATTGCATCAAAAATGTTAAAATTCAGCACTGAAATAATTTCAAAAGAAATTAAATACAATGTACCCAATCACCCTACATGTCATCATTGTGTATGTAATATTCATGTTTTCTAGGGCAGAAGCTCTTAATTTTCTAAATGCCAAATTAGTACATTGACACTTAAATCAAGGAAGCTGTAAGCTAAAGAGTATTTTTTTCTAGTGCTATTCACTGACTGCAGAAAACAACTCTCACTATTACATTGCTAAAAAACAAACTTAATCACTCAAATGAAATTTTTGAACGTTGACATTGTGTATGTTATGTTCCAAAATGTATACTAAGACTATTTTATTTGTACATGTACATATTTTTATACTCATTAGAACCCCCCCCCCCCCTTTTTTTTGTTCCTCAATCATGGCAGGAGATACATGTATATGCATTTCAGTATTAATTATTTTGGGTCTACCCGGTAGTTTATTTTGTGTCAATTTATTTTCGGGGAAAAGTTAATGTAAATCACTTTTTATCTGCAATATTTCGTGAGACGTTATGCTCGCGAAAATTTAATTCTCGCGTATAATAGAATTCCTTAAGATTATATAGAGCAATGATTACAATTTGTGAAAATTTTGTCTCTCTAATAAAGAGTCAATGACTATCTCCAGATTCACGAAAATAAGCTGTCACGAAAATTAAGTGATCTACAGTATATTTTTGTATTTTGCAATAAACTTTTTAAAAAAAATCAGAAGAAGTGCATTGACATTGCTCATAGGTCAAAACCAGGATGAGTTCAGTATGTACACAATCTCTGCAATAAGGAAATAACACATTTTGATTTTAACATTAAAAAATAATAGGTCATATGTAAAAATAAATCCAATTTCAGTCAAATTGCTCCAGAGGAACATATATTGCTTCAGTAAATTGTCTTCTTTAAAGTGCTGCCATATAAATTGTTTTTCTATCTGATAACAAGTAACAGAAAAAAATTTACTTGTTTTTCATGATAAAAAATAAATGTCAGACTTAGAACATGTAAAATGTCAAACCAATCAGTTCTACATAATACATGTAGTTCTCCATACTTCTGTTAAATAACAGTTTAAATGAAACATGTGTCCTTGTGCATGCTACATAAATCTTCAGAAATATATGTCAGTAGGTCTGTTGTAAAAAAGTTTTTATAACATTTAATCATGCACTTTTTCTAGCAAATTGAAACCATAAAGTATTACTATAGTAATAAATTCAGTATGAAATGACCATCACTCAAAAAATAGTTGCACCCAACCAGAAATGTTGAAAAGTTATTTATGGTTTAAATTGGTACAAACATTTTTTACTACTGGACCTGAAATGATTATTTCTCACAAATACCAAAGGCAGAGTATCTAAAAATGATGTACATTCAAACATAAACTTGAAAACAATGAAAACTATTCAAAGCAAAGAAAAATAATGCTTTGAATTAGAAAATATATTATGAACCATTTACTTTCACCATGCACAGAGCATGTGTATGTGTCCTCTCTTTAAAGAATATCACTCTGAGTCAGAATGTAAATCAAATTTAAATTACTTCATAATTTTTTTTTTCTTCAGTAATTGATTGAGTTTAAATTTTGATGAAAAGTATTCATGCTTAAAATTTTGCCATAAAAAGTCTCTAAATTTCGTATTTCAAAATTTATTTGGAAGGTTAAGGTTTACAACTATCATGACTATATTTACAGAATGATGGGTGATAGGACAGGACAAAAACAATTTATCTTTTATCCCTGGGCATAAAAATGGCAAGAACACAAGTATATGTTTGCAGAAAAGCATACATTTCTTGCATATCTTAGTGTTATGAAAATAATGAATCTTTGGTCACTTTTTATTTAACCCAGTAATATTACCTTTTCATCCCTGGTTCGTGTTTGTCCATAATATTTCAATGCTGCTTCAGAATCGGTAAATTTCTTCCTGTGTAACATGTAAGCACAGATCATGACTCCCGTCCTTCCCTGTAAAATAGTTTCAAAATATTCAAATAAGCTGATACATAGCAGAGCAAAAGATTTTGTATTAAATATATGTCCACAGATATGGTACATTTGCATTGCAACTTTAAATTCACTGTATTGTTTTCATATTAAAATATTGGTACTTTTCATTCAATGAGGGGTATACTCTTATACAGTGAAACCAATTACATGTTCAAAATTACACAAATATTTGTTCCAGCTGATTTGGTGGTAAATACCTGTTATGTTTTCTTTTACTTCTTATTTTAAGGAATTTTCTGGTCTGGACTTACCTTGCCTGCCTTACAGTGAATGGCGGCAATGTTTCGGCCATCTTGCCTTAGCCAGTCGTCTAGATCCTCACAGAAAGGTTTGATCAACTCTAGTCTAGGAGGGTTGTGGTCATCAAAGGGGTAACTGACCACCCTGTTGTGGAATTTGGCCACATCATAGGAACGCTCTGAACACCTGTCAGTGAATTAAAGTCATATACTGTACATTCTCAATCTTTTCAATTAAAGAAATCATACACTGGTTGTGCAAAACAAAAAATAGAGGTACTGTGAGTAGCCTAAAGCATTTTCAAAGGTTTATTGCAATTTTGTAAATGTTACCTTGAACTAGTCAATATAATTTTGATAAAAGAAGAGAAACACTCTCTGGTCATAATCTTTCAGTGAAAATATGGAATTCAATGTTTCTCCATCAGAATATTATAAACCTTTTCAAATTTTATATTTTTTCCTGCCAGTGACCTTGAACTTGTCAGGACCTTGTGTGAAGGTTATAACAAACCTTCAATGTCATCAACTATCTTTGTACTAAGTATCTGACCCATTTCTAAAATAGTTGTAACAGATACATGAGGGTTGATAGAACTAACTAGGCTCCAAGACCTTCAACGACACAAAGTCAGAGATCAAAAAAGATTTTGAATAGCTTGATTTTTATTCAATTAATAAAAATTTCAAATCTTGCAAATTTGCAAATCATTCAAATATAAACCTGTTTATAATTTTGTCTTCATACATCATACCCAGTATGTAGACATAAAAAATATTTCGTTTAATTATTTACTACATGTAATTTCAAATTTTGACATCTGTTAATTCCCAGTTTATCATTTAAGGGCTAGGTAATAGTTTGTGGGTTAGCGTATGACTTACTTATTAAGCACGTAGCAATATTAAGCACTCTGCATTGCTATCCTTACATCTAACATATATAATCATTACATGTACAGGTTATACTGGCAGAAACTCAATGTACTGAAACCTTGGTCAGTCTGCTAATTGGAAACCAATTTACACGATCCAAAGAAAACAAGCAATCTGAGCATATTGCATAAGCTGTATCTAGAGTCATCTGCTGGCAAATATTTTTTTCTTTTTGGTTCTTCTTTAAAATTAAAAAGGCCCAAATTCTGTTACTACAATAATTAAATTGAAGCTGAACAAAATAACCTGATCTATATATCATCAATCTGGACACAGTACCAAAATAAGCTCAATTTCTGCATGACAGATTACTGTTGTTTTTAGTGAATGTGTAAGCCCCCCCCCTCCTTAAAAATCAAAATGGCTGTATTTTCATAATTATGGGGGAAGGCGCCGTAGGCAGTCTTTAGTTCCCTTTGGTTTCAACAGTAAGGGACTAACAAAATTTTACTCTGTATCTTAACTCTCTCTCTAGCACACGATGTGGATGAGGACTCTTACATCATATGATGTTTAGCCCGATCCAAAAAAGGAGTTTCAAGGTCATTGGTCAGAGGTGCAGTAACCCGAATATTATCAGGTTATACACCTGTTATACATGTTTACTGGGTGATAATTGACAGATTTCATAACAAGGAGCAAAATTCTTTCATAAGTCATAATTACCGGTACACATGTTGATGATGGCATAGATTCCAGCTATGCTTATAAAATTATACTTGATCAAACATGGATCATTATATTATTAGAAGTATAAAAATACTATTATTTTTCATTTGAGTTTAATTGTCAAATATCTACATTAACAAGACTTAGTACTTGCAAAAAACATATCGTTAGTCAATCAATTGTGACCTCAATTTACAGTTATGTCAGGTTTAATAAGAATGTAAATAAGACATCAATTAAAAAAAAAATTATTTTCTTCACCTGGGGTAAAAGATCAAAATTTATATTTTTACTAGCCACTTGATTGTTCAATATACTGAAATATGCAGTCAAACAAATCTGCGAATGATTAAACTTAATGTAATTTGTTTAGTTGATTTTGTGTATTGTGAAGTATAAGCATTCCACTTCTATCAGCTTGATCACTGTGTCAGCTTATTTCCTTTTCATTACATAAGAAACTCCCAATTATCTTTTTTTAACTTCCTTCTGAATGTTGTCCTATTTTTGTTCACTGCCGCTGGCTCCTTCTAGAGTACTATTGTAAATGGTATAATAAGAGTGCTCTTTACATTGCTATACAAATTATCCTTCCTCTTTTGTGGATGTTAAATAGACACATTTCTATGTCCAAATAAAATAATGATTTACAGACTCTGTCAGTCGGCCGGTCAGTGATCTGCTTGTGTACAGATTCACACAAATCGATGACCCTCCCATCCACTCAACCAGAACCTTCAACCCCCCCCCCCCTCCCCAAAAGGTAAAGGTCATTTTGAACTTCCTACCTAAATCAGTGATCATTATGAAGATGACGTTAAATTAATTACCCTCTAAACAAAATGTTTGTTAATAATTGTTTTGTTGTTTAACATCTCTCTGATATTTTTTCACTCTAGACATATGGAGACGACACCATGTGCACTTAATGGTGGAGGCCCAGCTGTCAATTCAGTCTTATACTGGGGGCCATTGAGCAGTGACGGCTCTTTTTTGTGCCTGCAATTTACTCCATATCAGCAAATCGGACTTATAGGAGTATAGGACAGGTTTTAAATAGGCCCTGAGTAAAGCGTGGTCCTACATATTTCTCATAGTGCCCATACATATTTGCCATCAGTGTTACCAAAGAAAATATTGATATTTTCAATTCAATTTTAAATAAAACAAAGTGTTAAAAAAAATACATAACCTCTAGAATTTTCATTTCAGCAAAATCAGAGATTAAAAAAAATATTCAAAATGACACATTTGAACAGGAAAACTTCTCATGTTATAAGAACTCTAATAAACTTGGGATGAATTAAACACTATATATATATATGTACATTTAACGTGCTTATCATTATATGCAATTGAACGTTGAGCAATCACTATAAAGTACAGGGACTAAGAGATCTTCAGGCTGACAATTTTAAGATCTACCATATATAAACTTTATTAGTTTGTTTGTTTGACAGGCTTCAGATAATTTTGATGACTTTGAACGCAATGTAATGATCTCAAGTTGTTAATCTAAATAAATTTAACATTTGCATTCAGAGATGCAAAAATACAAACATATAGTGATTCCATCATATGATAATGAATGATTACCTGGTATTTTTACTTAGCTAAATAATTATATAAATGGCCTGAGCCTGCCCAGTGGCCAGGAGGGCTGTACAGGATGTACATTAACAAACTTTACGACATTTATTGGCTCTTATCCTATCTATACAAGTGAGATTTAATAGTGTTTTTTCAAATATACATGAACACTGATGAATGTTTCTATTTAAGATGCACGGACTTTTAGGGTACTTGTTACTATCATAGAATGCTGAAGATGTTCTAGTGATCACTTACATGTAACATATAAAATATTGTGACATACACAGAAAATACTGTAACAACAGAAATAAAGTGTTCTAATTTATGACCACTCATGTTAAAAGTACATTTTGCAAAACTGTTACTAAATTTACACCATTCCTAACTGGGTTAGAATTAAGGCTTTTTTTTAATACTATTCTTTCTCTATGTACAAATTGATATACCACCATGACATCAAAACTCTTGGATAAATACACAATATATGATATAACAAGCTAACCATATGGTAATGGAATACAATTAATTGACCCAATTAAATGTACATGTATCAAAATAAATCAATCTGTCATTGCAAAAATTTGCGAAAAGGGGGAGGAGGTACTTAAAAGATGGAACTCCATACAGTCTTATAATTCATAATCTGACTTAGTATCATTCAAAATGATCCCTTCTTGGTAACTTGTGAAAATTCTGAATAATATTGGAAAATTTGAAACATTACACATTATTTACTGTAGTGTAAATCGCATCTTAATTATCAACTCTACCAGTGTTCGAAATTCGGAATTATTTTCTGTGGGTCCAAAGGACCCACTGATAAAGGGTCTACACAAGTCCCTCCAAGGCAGCATAGGCCCAAAAATTATACCATCAAATATTTTGGGAAAATAAACTTTAATAGACAATCTTGGTAAGTTTATCAATTCCTTACCAATAAAAAAATTATGTTATTTAACAAAAAAATATGTTAATATTACTGTAAACATACTTTTTGTTTTATGTAACATTCCCCCCCCCCCTCCCCAAACAGGGTGTGTCTGTAGGGGTTTTTTGCCTAATGTACAATCTCACATATTGAAGCATAATAAAGTTTCCATTTAAAACATTCATTTTCACTTTACCTAAATGCCTCAATAAAGGGGGCCAAACATCCCAGGACTGAAGTAACCAGGTGGGATATTTACAGTAGACACCCAACATGGCTGTTTTGCGATAGAAAACGAAGCTAAACAAATTGGGGGAGGAAATGCTAGATGATATAAAAATGATTATTCCCCCTTCATATTTAAGTGAAGGTTGACTAGGACAACATATTTATATTTCATCTAAAGCTACAATTAACATTCTTTATAAAAATTGCATCAGCTGATTGAAACCGTCACAGATATGGTAGCAATTTGAATGTGTCGGTCGGGTTATAGGAAAGAAACATTTTTAGGCCTTCTTTCTTCACAAATCATCATCGGCCCAAAATCATTTCAAGGACCCATTTAGTCATACTATACATGAGTCCTTCCGTTTGAACGTCGGCGCAGGACCGACGGACCGACGCTAGGAATTTACACCATCACTGAACTCTACATTTACACCATCATTAAAATAAATTTCTTGCTTATAAGAAGGGGAAGTAACTCTAATTACAAAGCACCATTCCTATGCTTTGTGCATAAATATACTGTATAATACAAATGACTGAGATTAATGGTATATCTTTGTGAAATGTGTTGCAATACATTTGAAGTAAAAAAAAAAACCTGGTAAATCAAGTAGCTGTAGGAGTTTCTACATCGTGTCATACTTACAGATTGTAGACTCTGTAGTGGTCCTTGTGTCTTTCATCCAGAAAACTGTAAAAACAATGCAAATACATAATTCCTATATATAAGCTTCAATGTTGGGCATGGATTTTGTCAAAAGCATGGGTTTGGGAAACATATTATATATGATTTTACAAAATCATTGTATAAATAAGAATTCATATTTGTATAATAGAGAATATGTAAAATCACATATATTTTGTTTCTGGCCTCCTGTGGTCAAAATCAAGGGTTATAACTCTGAAATATTTACGATATTGTGATTTTTCAACTGTATGTCTACAGACTTTAAGTTCACAAATAATTTTAGTTTTAATATTGAATGCACATTCATAGGAACTTGCAATAATCTGTATACATTTATATGTATTTATATGAGTGATTAAGAACAAAAAATATCTTTATTTGTGAACATTTGTGCTGAACCTCTCGTACTTACTTGACAACATCAGCCATTTTGTTGCGATACACACCCTCCAGCTTTTCGGCAGGAAATCCCATGGCAATTATATTTGGATAAATATCTAAATTTGTATTAAGGAAACACAATCTATGCACATTAGTCTACAAAGTAGTGATTACATAAAAAATCTTTTTTTTTTCAAGGAAGCGGTTGACACTAAGTACATGTACCAGTATCTGACTAATTTACAGGCAATTTATAAAGTTGCAATGATTTTTAATTAATTAATAACTACATTGGGTAATGATCGATGGACAATTTTTAATTTGTTCAAGAAGTGACAGATTCCCTTTTCAAGGAATTTCTACTGAAATTCAATTTCTATATCATGAGACGTCAGCATGCACTCAATTTGTTTTAGTTATATCAACATGATTTAATAACAAAAACATTCTCAATTTATACTTGAGTTTACTAATAGGTGGTAGACATTGATACATCCCATGCCTCAACTGTCACGCAGCAGCTTTAATTCTTATTCTTCAATTACATTTTATTTATTGCAATGCCCTAACACAGCCAAAACAAAAACAAATCTTCAAATTCTTTCAACAGACAGATAGAAAATGCTCTCCTTAATAGGAACAGGTTATGAGCATGTCCTCTTTTACTGAGCATTAGTAGAGGTACCTTTGAAGGAAACTGATTGAACTAATATGTTCTAAAATCTCATCAAATATAATAACAGCTAGTGATATGGCAACCTTTGATAGAAAATTCTAAAATTGATAGTTGCTCATTTTTTCAAAGTATTTTTTATTACATGAAACAGGTACCGGTATATATTTTAACAAAATCAAGGACATTTCTGTATTTCTCTTGCAAATGGTAGACAAATTTATACACTAAGCATGAATTGAAGTTAGGCTCACATATTTGATTAGAAATAAATATTGTTTTCCTTTATAGAAAACATTTACACATTTGAGATCCATCAAAAAACAACACATTCAGTCTGGGATCATTAAGTCCACATTTCAAATTGTAAAGCACTAATTTATGTAACATGTGTAAGTAAAATTGATATTATAAAGGCTCACTTGCAAAGATATTTATGATTTACATAATACCAGTTATAAAATGTTAAGTTTAACAATGCAAAAATCTGAAGGACCCAAAAACCTGTGAAGGTTTACTTCACTAATAGGTTACCTAGTGGGTGAGGTTTCACTTTTGGAAATTTTTATATAATTCTCTTTGCAGTACTCACAGTCACCATCAAAAATACGAATACTTCTCCCTATTAAGCCTAAATGTATACAAGCCTTGAAGCAGACTTATCTCTGCTCTAGTAGACCACTTCAGGATATCTGTTATGCTACTCTTTTGCAGGGCAAAATGATATTCTGTAAATATATTATAATTAGCATGTATGATATTTATTGGCTTTGATTTTTGATGAAGTTAGTGTGGATTTGATTTAGCTATTTTCTTGATATTCTTTTTAATGTTTATATATGTGCATTGTACTTCAAATAGTGATTTCGTTGTACTTGAAGTTTCTTTCAACTAAAAGCGCTAAAAAGAATACACAGCCAATTGTAATACATTTACAGTATTTTTTTGAAATATGACAAAAGTAATTGTTTAATGCATATCATAATTGTCAATACAGTCTATGCTAAAGACAACGGACCATCAGACCTAACGGACCTTATCTGATGCACATTTTTTGCACCAGGCGGGAATGTCTGACAAAATTTGGTTTGGTCCTCTTCATTGAAATCATTCATTACACAGGACCAACTGTCCTGTGTGGTCCAAACAACTTTGGCATAGACTTTCAAGTGAAAAAACTTTGCCAAATGTTATTAGTTTGCCCTGCAAATAGTAGTAATACAGTTATCATTAAAGGGCTATCCAAAGGATCTGTCATTTGCTTTGCCTCAGTAGCAAGTTAACATTCCTGTGCCTTGAAAAAATTGACAACTGGTGCCAATCTTCTATCTGAATATAAACTTTTAGCAGGGAACTATATACTCTATAGGACTATAGGTTCCTGCATTTAGGCCCATATTTATTCAGAAATGTGAAATGTTACCTTATACAACAAAAACAGTCCAAACACAATATTATTACATTGCGGATGAAATATTATAAAAGGATACATGTAAGATCGAGGTCGAAGCCGTCCTCCGTGTACCTTCTCTTGTGCTTGCTGACAAGATTTTTAATAAAGTTTGCCATCTTGTACATCTAGTCTTCAAAAAATATCAAATTAAGAAGATGATCTTAACTCCATTTTTATGTCATGGTCAAACACTGGAGAAACTTCTCATAGTCAGAATTTCCTCTGTAGTTTTTTTTATCCAATTCTTATCACATGTTGATTACTAATAAACTGATAAGATGAAATCTGTAAAATATAAAAAATACAGGTGTCAATTGTTAACATAACACTTCTTTGGACTTGAAAATAAGACTCAAATACGACCTACCTCTTCCTTGATTACATTCCCGTTCCTTTTCCCTTTATTTCACTATGGCGGCTTCCTGGTGTAATGTGTATATTCCGCGGTCAAATATAGTTCATAATTGTTGTCTTAAAACAGTAATGCTATATACCTCTCTCTCAACCCAGCATCACTTCTGGAGAATATTCTGATTGGAGAAGATCTAATCACGCCGTTCTCGTCATTCCTTAAAAGAACTAATACAATTTGGACTCCGTTTGTTTATTTGTTACGCGAGGCTGTTAACCCACTAACCTATAATTTTATGACCTAAAAAAATCAAGAACAGTAACCCAAACCCAAACACCAACTAAAAAGATAGAGTTATCTTTCTTAGACTGTTTCGCCTCGAGATAAAAGATAAACGATTTGTTTTTTCTTTAATAAATTTTTGACCCATAGTATAATAATATTATTTTTATACTATGGGTCAAAAATTTATTACAGGAACAAGTGCCTGTGGGACCTTTATATACTATTTACTATATACTATAGTATACATGTCCCTGGGTGTGCATAGTATGGCAAGCACTTAGCATAAAAAGGGAGGAGTGACAGTGTTCCCCTGTCTCATTGAAAAAAAAAATACTAAGAACGTCTCAGTTCAACAAATAAAAAAAAATTAAATAAAAATAGATAAAAATAAATCATAAAATTAAACAATATTGAAATAAAATGAAATATTTAATAATAAAATAAATGTTACAGAAGGTAAAATAAAAAAGGAAACCTGCCCAGAACTCTAAACTCTATATTTTTTAGTGGCGGGGGTTATCACTACCATTTTTTCTTTGAAAATATGGGATCGACACACCTTGGCTTTATCATATTTTTATGACCCAATAATTGAGTTTCAGGGATACATAGATTTTGTTCTCCCCGTCCGTACGTCTATCAGTCTGCCTGTCAAAATGCATACTGTATTTAATTTCTGTCTACAAAAACTTGAACCTCGTCCATAACTTAATATTTTGATTGTAGTAGTACTAAGTATAGGGGTACCTCGTATACGAAACAAGTGCCTATGTCACGCCAAATTCACAAAAATGAGATAAACATAGTTTCACAGTCGATAAACTAGGTTTATCGGTTGTAAACTATAGTTTACGGACTGTAAACTATAGTTAACAACGTTAATATATATTTTACATCCGTCAACCATAGTTAACGCGATAATCTATGTTTCACAACCGTAAACTATACTTAACACTGAAAACAATCATTTGCGATTGCAAAACATAGATTATCTGATAAATATAGTTTCACGATTTGTAAACTATAGTTTACAAACCGTTAACTATAGTTTGATCTGATAAAAATCGTTTCACGATTTGTGAAACTATGATTAACAACTCTTAACTATAGTTTACGATTGTAAACTATAGTTTACAAACGTGAATCTATGTTTATCAACAAAATTTATAACAAACGTTTTATTACAGACAGATAAACTTAGATTATCATTCGTAAACTATAGTTAACAACCGTTAAATATAGTTTTACAGATGAAAACTATACTTAACGAATCGTTAACTATAGTTTACGGTTTGTTAAGTATAGTTTACAGTCGAAAAACTTAGTTTATCAACAATTATGAAACTAGGTTTATCTCATTTTTGTGAATTTGGCGTGCCATAAGTGCCCGAGCTTTAATATTAAAGATGAACTATTTTACCTCTTAACTTTGACCCTAGACGTTGACGGACTTAGCTTTTTAAAAATATTTACCAAACTTTAACAGTTAGGAATGAAAAGTGGGTGTTATGGCCTTAATTCATACGTATTACGTAATATGTATATTAATTTTTTCTCATAAGGCCTTTCCATGAATAGAAATATTTTTTACCTTTTGATTTTGACCTTCAAGTTTGACCAATTAAAAAAACTTTAAACTTGGACATAACTTTTGAACAGTTAATACTGGAGCGTTTATATTTCACAGGTGCATTCCTTGTGACAAGATCTTTCCTTGGATACCAACAAATTTAAATTGACCTTTTGACCCGACCTTGTGTTTCATCTTCATTGTTTTAACCAAGCGTAGAAGGGACTCATGTTTAATAAATTTATCAGGAAAGGGAAACGCAATTGCAGATTTGAAATTTATACAAAGACAAATAAATAATACAATAATTCAATATTATAATAATACACAGACTTTAAAAATAACGAATTTGCAAACAGTTTTTTTTTCTGAAGGTTATGGAATGCCCATCGTCGCAAACCAAGGCCAAAATGTACGATCCTCTCCCATTCTGGCCGTGGTTGAACGAGGCGAGAATTCTTCGTAGCTCATTAAAATATTGACCAATGCGAGTAAAGCATAGTCGGAAGATGAACTTTATAACGACCTTTCAATATTCAATCGCAGTAAAGGAAATATTTCTTGTATACTGTTGATGTCAGTTGTTGATTTCAATACGCAAGTTTCGAGATTAGCTCCCTTGGTGCGCTCTTTCGTTGAGGAGGGGAGTTTGGTTGCCGCGTAAACAAACAGGTGGGACAGATATTTATTATTGGATATATCGCATCATCGATATACTGGTTTATTGTAACTATATATTTGTAAGTATGCACTGTTCAACTCGAGAACAACCGAATTAAAGTAAAGGCGTCATTCATTTTTTAATGCAAGAAAATCGTAAAAAAGAGAAAAATCAGTGGATGTGAGACTTTTCAGACGCGGGGAGAGATATGGACCTCGAATAGATACGATACACATGCACTCTGATTATTACATGTTGGCAATCTAAATGACACATTGATTTTTTACCTTATTATAACTTCAAAAAATCCATTAACTTCTAAGAGAATGTTTGTACAATCAAGAAAATCTTTTACTTTTATGAAGACCACGACGTTTATTTCGTTTTCAAGTACCCTATAATTGAAAGTAGATTTATAAATATACACAGTTGAGCTTGATTAAATCATAAAATGCATCACTGATTAACATCTATATCTTTCTATAAAATTAAACAAATTTCAAAAGCCACAGACATCGTTCATTTATTTATGCACGTTTGTAAGCAAACTGTCCCACCTCCATGCTGAAATGGATACTTTTTGCGCCTCTATCGCAGGAGAGTTACAATCTCGAAACTGGCGTATTGCGATGGAAACAAAACTTGTCACTGACTGAATATGACGTCACAATAGAGAGGCGTAAATATTCAAGATTACGATACTTTTTGTGATCAAGCAGCCACGGGTAGGAGAGAGCTATATGCGGACTCCGGACCGTGGCTTGAGACGATGTGGAATGCCATATACGACAGCCAACTGCTGACTGCTTACTGCCAACTGTCAGCTGCTTACTGCTAACTGCCACACATATTTTAATAAATTTTATTTTTATATTGATATTTATGTGAATTAAAAAAAAGGCGCGGATCTAGAACATTTTTTCCAAGAGGGTCACTCATGTTAAAAAAAATCCAACCCAGAAATTTCTTGACAAGAAAAAAAAAAAAACCGTAACGTCCTTTCCTTTATGTGAATATTTATTTCGGACAGGGAGCATTCCTTCATGTCTATGACATTTTTTATACCATCTTAACACGAAACCGCGTTTTCGGGGGGGGGGGGGGGTCTAAGGTCCCTCTTAGTTGATTTATTTTATACATTGAATAACTTTTAGTTGGTTTAGTTTGTGCATTAAATAACTTTACAAATTTCAGAGGGGTGGTCCGGACCTCTCTCTCTAGACCTATGCATGTAAAACATATCTTATTTGTAAAAGGACCTCTCTCTCTAGATCTATGCATGTAAAACATATCTTATTTGTAAAAACAAAGAGATATAAATGTTTGGTCGGCGTTTTCTATGAGGAGAGTCCAAGATCAGTTTTAGTTTGTTTAGTTTATACATTAACCCACGACTGTACAAATTTTAAATACCCCCCATCCCCACCCCACCCTCAAGATATTTGCATGTGAAACATTATATAACACACAGAGATATACATCTTTAATTTGAGGAAATTTTCAACTATAAATTATAATGGAAAATACAAATTTATTTTCAAACCATCTTAATCTGCGAAATATGGAATGCCATATACGACAGCCAACTGCTTACTGCCAACTGCTGACTGCTTCCTGCCAACTGTCAACTGCTTACTGCCAACTGCCACACATATTTGAATAAATTTTATATTTATATTGATATCTATATGAATTTTCAAAAAAAAATAATGAAAAAATGGCACGGATCCAGGAAATTTTTTCCAAAGGGGTCACCATGGTAAAATTAAATGACCAATATGTTTTATCTTATGTAATGTTCAATATATGCGGTTAATAAAGTACATTGTTTATTTTTTTTTTTTCTTGTTTTCTTATTTGAAATAGGTAATACAATGACTATTTTCTGCTTTTAATGTTTAAAGAAGCCCCCCCTCCCCCGGAGACAACAAACCCTTTGAAGAGAGAATAATAATATACAAAAGATTTGTCGTTTCGCAGAGAAAGATGTTTTGAAAATAAATTTTCGTTTTCCATTATATTCTATAGTTGAAAATTTCCTCAAATTAAAGATGTATATCTGTGAGTGTTATAATGTTCCACATGCATAGATCTGGGGAGGGGGGGGGGGCATATAAAATTTGTTCAGTCATGGGTTAAATAAACTAAACGAACTACCGGTATAACTGACCTTGGACCCTCCACTTAGAAAACGCCGATCAAACATTGATATCTCTTTATTTTTACAAATAAAATATGTTTTACATGCATAGATGTAGAGAGAGAGGGGTCCGGACCACCCCTCTGAAATTTGTAAAATTATTTTATGCACAAAATAAACCAACTAAAATCTATTTAATGTATAAAATAAATCAACTAATTATAAAAGGTACCTTAGACCCCCCCCCTCCCCTCCCCAACCGAAAATGTGTATTCGTGTTAAGTTGGTATGAAAAATGTCATAGTCCTGAAGGTATGACGCATAAGAACCCCCTCTCCCCGATCGAAATAAATTGTCACATTTAGGAAAGGACTCTACGTATTTTTTTTCTTGTCAAGAAATTACTGGGTTGGATTTTTTTCTTTTACCAGTGACCCTCTCGGAAAAAAATGTCCTATAGATCCGCGCCTTTTTTTTAAATTTACATAAATATCAATATAAAAATAAAATTTATTCAAATATGTGTGGCAGTTGGCAGTAAGCAGCTGACAGTTGGCAGTAAGCAGTCAGCAGTTGGCAGTAAGCAGTTGGCTGTCGTATATGGCATTCCATAGCGAAACGAC